CGGACAAAATATTATACATACATCTTTTTTTTTAAAGCGAATACGTATTAAATCATTGATGGCCATTGTTATTGTCAACAGATTATTTAATCATCAATGGGGACTTTCAGGTGGGAGTTGCCTAGATGCCTTGAGTTCATCAGTAATCGGCCAATTCATCGGACCAAAGGTGGTAGCAGACGATTTCTATCTATCCCTTCGCGTCGAGGATGTATTGATTAAAAGAAGTTTGGAATACAGGAAGGTGGATAGATGAAGAAAAATCGATGGTGAAATAAAATTGACACGGGACCTTAATCGAAGTCATTATAGTTAGCTTGTACATTTATCTTCAATTAACAAGTCCATTACTATCAGAAAGGCTTTTAAGACTTATATCCTCATGTTATTTACATACGAACTGTATTTGCTTTCAAAGAGGTCATCAAATTTTAAAAAAGACAAGCAGTCATCCACATCGTGAAATATGCGATTGTCACAGAAGTTATGAATCATTTAGTTACCTCTTTTTCCTCTTCTTCTTCTCGCCCTTCCTCCCTTTCTATCTCTCTTTTCCTTTCTCCTCATTATTATCCACTATTCTCTTATCTTCGTTTATCTCTTCTCTTTTTTCCCCTCCCCCTTCCCTTTCCCTTTCTACTTTCCTTCATCTTCTCGTAATTGTATTGCACAATAACCGAGAAAAAGTTTCCACCGAATCTCTTGGGAAATTACAATATTGTCCAGAGTGCAAAACAGAATATATTAAATGGAGTGCTACGAAGGATATCCTGACCCTAGGGGAAGCAAAACTTGACCACTAGAAAAGAGAAAAATTCATGTGCATTGTTTTTTGTTACTTCACATTTGTAAATCTTGTATTTTCTTTTGTTAATTAATTTCTCCTGGGGATGGGGCGGGGGGGGGGGGGAGGTTGATGTTTGAACTGTGTATTAAAGTCACTCTGAAAGAAGAGTTATCTATACGGGTGTCTATATTTGATTGTTGAACGAGAAAAGGTGGATTGTTTCAGCAGTCCAAATATTTATTTAAAACAAAAAAATAATAATAAATCTAAAATGTATTTCCTGTGCTTTTTTGGAAACCCCAATAATGATTTTATATCTCACCTAGATCATAACTGACTAATTTATGTTTATTTTGTCACTTAGAAGAAGAAGAAAAAATGTTTTTATTGCAAGCTCATTTTTTTCGTTCCGTTTTGTGCATATGACGTTTCAGATTACAATTCTATTCATTTTATTTTGAAAGTTAGACATTATTGTTAATCAGTTTATGTTATTACACAAATTTGTCAAAATGTTTCTAATTTTATTGATTTTAAGTTTTTAGTTTTAGTTTTAGTTTTAGTTTGATGTGATGAATGTAAAGCCATTGTAATTACAAAATAATGTAATGAAAGTAATGATGAATATAATGGTAATAGTTCAAATTATTATAATTTTATCCTGATATATGTTTATTATCTCATATTATGAATTTTTATTCTGTTCTTTACTCTTTATTTTCTAGGATGCAGCCTGTGGGGGTGACATGCTTTCGAGTAATAAATAGCAATTTAAATTGCTTTTGTCACTCCTGACCAGCAGATTGTATCATTTTCTCTCTTCTCTCCACTTTCCTAAAACTGTTTGCATGTACTATGCAATCTCTATATATTATCTGATTGTTATACTCGCTGTATGTTTTCTGATTGGTCAAATAAATAATAGTAATTTTAAAAAAATAATAATAGTATGGTACATACCTGTACATCATATGTGTAAGTTTTGACGCAACAGAAGAACCCTCTCTCAAAAGCAACAAATAAGATAGTCAAACGAGAATACAGGGATAAGGGTGAAACACTTATTTATTATTCAACAATTCAACACAGCAGGTTGGACGGATAGTTAGACAGAAGAATAGGATGCATAAATACATAGAAGCACTCTATCAATCATTTGACAGTCAATCACCTTATCTTATTACAATCTTTAAAAAAACCATACATATTCATAAAAATGTTATAAATATATTATGCATAATGTCATTCTATGTGAATAGCCAATAAAAATCATCATTACAAAATCAGATTTTTAACAGATTACTACATTTTGTGTGATAAAGTCGTATAGGGCAATTATTGTTGACAGGTTTGTTTGTTTTATCTAACACTAAATATGTACATATTGTGGAAGAGTGATAAGATAAATGAAAAACCTAGTGCCATAAAGAAAGTGTCAGTTGTCCCATATAGTATAAGCAGAATTGATTAACGTGTTCTTACTCTTTGAAAACCCATTACTGCTAGAAGCCTGCATCCCGACAATGTGATGTTTCGGATCATTTCCATAATTACAAATGAAAAAAATACGCTTTTTCATGCTTCCCTCCTGACATAGACCTCATCTGAAAGGCATATCAATCACAAACAGGCACTAGAATATGAGATTCAAGAGGGGAGGAAAAAAATCTACAAATTTACCCTACTCAAGCCAGAACACATTACTCATCTTTTGTTTTATAATTGATTACTCTCTTCTGTTTGCTGCTACAAGAAAGATAATGTTTTCTGGAGGCTATGTTGGATGTAATGCATCTCCCTGCCATGTCGAATTAGCGTTCATTCACGTAGCTCCCGAATCGAGGGATTTACCCATTAATCTTGCGTGGAAGACAGGCAGTGAGGCAGGGAGAGGTAAGATAGAATGATAGAGTAGGGGGAAGAAGGGCATGGAAGGAGAGATGCAGGGGAATGATGAGGTGGGAGACAGCTATTCCTAAAAAAATGGAGAGAGGGAAGAGAAAGTGAGAAAAGGGGGAAAATAGAGCCTGCATGAAGACAGAACTAGAGGGGCAAAGAGAGAGAGAGAGAGAGAGAGAAAGACAGGCAGAGGGGAGGGGGGAGAGGAAGAGAGAGACATAGGATCAATCTAGAATGAGGATAAGAAAGTGGGATACATCCTGTGGGTGCCATTTACAAGAGGTTCAATCACTGTGGACCAAAACAAAACGCTAAAGGCGTTTGATGTGTTAATAAATGACCTCCTCAGTATATAGAGACTCACTGAAGTAGTTTAATGGGATATAGGAGTGCAGGGTTGTCTCTTTCGCTACTGTCTAAATACAAATGGATTTGCACAGAGCCTTGAGGGAAGGGGAAATTGGTAATCGAAACAGGTGGACGACTATGGGATGTAAGAATGCCTCTTCTCTCTCTCCCAGTAACATTGCAGTAATAAAATGCTAGATTCGGAGCTGGAGTCATCCTTAATTCCTCTTCAATCAAGGGGAAAATGCAAATTTAGCTAGCCTAAGGAGGCAATCTTCATCCGATTTAAATCTCATACACACACAAAATACAAATTGCCTTACTTGACTAGATATAAAGTATCTGCAATATAATTTGATGATGGTATATTTGATTATTCATAGGAAGGAGAGGTTGGGTAGTGGTTTTTGCACTAGGATTTGCGTCGTTTATTAATTAGATCTTTGTAATTTGGTACTGAAATTTATATTTTTAAACTATAACCTTTCAAATTGAATGGAGTTAATGAAGAAAGAAATCCGATCATGCATTTATTTTCCCTTGAGAAATGCATTTTTACATTTTTACAATAAATGTATCTCATTCAGGTAATCATTTATGGAAGTTCATTTTTGAGCATCAAATCAATTTTTCCCTCTCAGTTCATGACATAGACCAAGTTGAAGGCAATGTAGTTTTGTATATATTTATAGCACATGAATTCATACTTGCAATCATCAATTTGTCATCTGATATATTAGCTCGCAAACTGCACATTCTGTAATTGATCCACCCCTTTGTTCCCCCATAAGAGTGCCTCAGGAATATGTACTTTTGATAAAAGCTTGGTATTACAAAGCTCCCGGAATCATCCTCATAAAAAAATAGGATATAATTTAGAGCAAAACCAGTTTTGTTTTTCGGCGTTCTATCGAATTGTGCGAGACATGCCAATAAATTCTACACTTGATGTCACATTCAATCCATCAGTCTTTTCAACTAAGAACAACAATTGGACTGCCCCATTGGTCAAAGATTAATTGCATGGCACACCAGCATGCTCTCGAGGGTTGGCAATTTGGGAGGATTTCAGGCTCTCTTCTTTTCTGTCCTCAATATTGTAGGAATTATATGTAGGATACACTGATCAATCACAATGTGATTGCAATCAAAACATGCATCCTCAGGTCATTGAATGTACTCTGTGTATCTATATGTATGACTGAAGACAAAGTAATACTGTAACTGAAATAATTGTATATTTATCAGTAATTACACATCATAGTGAAAGTACATGGGGTTGTATTGTGAGAAGAATAATAGCTCAAAGGTACGACATGTTTTCTTGAAATTAATGCTCTGCACAGTAAAAAATCTCTTAGGATAATCTCTTTTTGTTTGCTTGCTTTGGTGACAATAAATATGGTCTGCTCATCATACCTTTACACTGCACAAATAATTAGCAGCCATTAAGAGGGCCTTAACAATTATGTATTGTCATTGGCAGTAATAGCCTCCTTGTGGGCAGCCGACAACTATTATCAATGTTTTAAAATAATACTATAATTCTCTAATTATGGATAACAGGTAGCCCAATTGTGAATTTGAAGAATGACTCAAAGCCAATGAAATTATGTAGATTCACAAATAATAATAATTTTGTTTTAACCCATAGAAAGAAGACTTAATTAGCTTTAGTACAGTATGTTTTAGGGCTAATATAACATCCAATAAAACATTGCCGTTAAAATAACACCCCAATTGTATAGATCAATCAATTATATGTCTTGCACCTTTAATAGGGTTTGCCAAGACAAATATCCCTTTTATTTTGTATAATAATTGTGTGGTCACATATTTGGAATGATATCATGCAATATCAAGTACAGTCAAACCTATCTATAGCGACCGCCAAAGGGAAACAAAAAAAAGTGGCCTTTGTAGACAGTTGGTCTTTGTAGACAGGTTCCTTTAGTACATAATTCAATGAGAAACCATTTTCAAGGGAAACAACGAATGTGGCCTTCGTAGACAGGTGGTCACTAAAGCAGGTTTGACTGAATAGGCTTTACTGTCAAAGGAGTGTATAAGCATTAACCTTCCTCTGGATTAGTTGGAGCTGGCTGTAGGAATGAGAGCATCCAGGTTAGAATCTTAGTATCACTCATACAGTCACCGTAGCTAGGATCAAACAGCTGCTCAAGACAGTGAATGCTGGCTAGTTTCACATCAAATGGGATCTAAAGGTTTTTAAAAGAAGGAAAGAAAGAAAAGAAAATAGAAATGTCAATCATAATAAAACAATTTGTAAGTCATACCAATAAACAATAAAGATGTATACAGCAAGTAGAAATACCACTAAAAATCCCATTAAACAGATTGCTAATATTAGCAGGAAGTCTGAATTGTGTAAATCAGTTATCACATAATCTCATATTATCATGTGTACGCAAAAAACAAATAAAACAAATAACAACTAATTTGCCAATCTGTGTCAAAATACCAATTTAAAAAGTGCAAAACCCAAATTACCAAAATCATGTGAAATACATGTACCTTCTTTTCTAATGCAGTTGTGAGAAATTATACCTAACCTAGACCTGTGAAATATTTGCTCAGTTCACTTTTTCATTTCTGTTCTCTCTCCATCCCCCCCCCCCTCCCCCAGTAAAGGTGCAGCCAACCTCACATTTGAACAAACAGCAACAAAATAATAATGATAGTATGAAATCTGCTTATCTCATGTTAATTACTTTCTAGGGCAACTTGAACTTACATTGTATCCAGGCTTAGGTTCAAAATCTTCTTTTCCTTCCAGTAGTTGCTCTACGATCAGGGCACACTGCTTCAACAAAGCCTAAAAAATGAAAAACAAAAAAGAGCCAGATTCAGAAAACAACTCTTAGGACAATCTCTTAGAGAATGAAATTAATGAGATGTAATCACTGTTTGGAAAAGAAATGAAGCTCAAAATATTCCTCTCGGTGCCTTTTAGTAAGTGGTTTAAACTGATACAACTGACAAATCACAACTGGTATACATAGAAAAAGATAAGTTTGTGTTTCTCCTCTAACTTTAAAGCTGATTCATGCATTATGAAGTATGAATTCAAATTAAATATTTTGTACATCTATCATCAATGAAAAACAGCATTTAAACTTGAAAAGCAGCATTTAAACTTGGAATACATTTGGTGGCACCCTAAGGCTTAGCTTACCTCTAGGTCTTCATCTTTCTTAACCTTGGCTGAGAGCTGGGCGATGCGATGGGTGCGCTTAGACTTCCTGCTGGTGGGTTTGCTACCGGAGGAGCTACCAGCCGAGGTGGGTGTGTTGGTGCCCCCATGAGAGCTAGCAGCTGGGGTGCTAGGGGGCTTGGGCTGCTCGGAGAGGGAGATCTCGGCTCGTTGACGAACCACAGCTAGCTTGTCATGGAGGTCAGTCAGCTGAGAGAGGGACAAGGTTACCTTACCCAAAGTCGGTGGAGGGGAAGGACCTGTAATAAATGAACAAGAAAGTTATACGGAAACATTAACTCGATGTCAAAACTCATGGGTATACTGGTAGCTTACAAGATGGATAGTGGAGAAGCAGTAAGAAAAGCACAGCTCACACAAACAAGTTTTAATTTTGATTTATATTTCAACATCTAATTCATTATTGCTCTTTTTTGAATGCTTTTTAATTATGTAGCATGGTCAACCTGTTTAACCTCTCTAAGGATTTTTTTTAAAAATATTAAATGAATATTACATAAATCTACACCAAAGAAAGGTTGAATGATTTATTATTCAATTCAAGCTCTTTTCAATGACTTACTTTTCTTAGTCTTAGCGGATCCTTTTGCAGGAAGCTGACACAGTGCATAAAGCAGATAGACGCCACGTCCCTTCTCGCCACTACCACCTCCTTCTCCCACAGTGATGTCATCATAGCTTGGCTGATACCATTGGAAACAGAGCTCCGTCTCATCACCCCCCGTCACCAGCTTCTCCAGGCTACGCCCCTGAGCTGCCTGCCCTGTAGGCTCGCAGATGAGAGGTACTGTGTAGCTGTTGGCTGGGTAGGTGACCGTGGGTATGACTAAGGGGGCATCCTCAGAGACTGGATCGGATGAGGAGGGAGAGGGGAGATGGAGGATGCTGGGAGGTGTGATGGCCAGACAGGAGGAAGCAAAGATGGGGAGGTTGTTGGTGAGGAAGCTGACCATGGTCTGTAGGCGCAGTGAGGCGTGGCTGTTCAGGAGTGGGGTACGTATTATCTCATGGTTAACGCCCGTGTCCTGTCCGCTGTGGTCCACAAAACCAAGGTCAAAGTTTCCTCCGAGGTTGCCTCCATTAATCTGAAGAAGATAAAAACAGGCATATTCCATTATTATAGGAAACTTGACAAGTAATATTTACATGCAAGATTTTCTTCAGGATTCCGTATATCGTTTGATACCTGTGTGATGAAGCAGTTTCAAAGATGTTTACACATATGTCAAAGTCCCATTTGCTTTTTTTAAATTCTCCATTTTCGAAGCCCTGTAAGTCAACTACGTCGTACATGCACTAGCCTATATTCTTCAGGTCCTTATCAAAAACTGCTGGTGGGGTATGTGAGGGCATTTTTATTAGCTTTCCCCATCGGAAATGAATTACTTCAAATTTGAAGGTAAACTATATTTGCTCCGTCCGTCATGAAATGTAGCATTGTAAATGATGGAGTTTTTAATCAATTCTCTCAAACCAGATACAAAATATATAAACCATTACGTAATGAGTTTTCTTTCTTAATACCAAGTGTAAAAATTAGTCAAAGGTATATATCAGATCTCTTTCACTTGATGTGATGATCAACTAACATCTAGATCCTGATCTAGATGATAATGTTTAAATTTGGTAAAACATGAACAAGGGTTATATAGCAAGCACCATTTAGAAATAAGGTTTCTGAGTGAATTACTCACCGGTGATGAAGTGCCATTGTCTCCCAGTGCCAGGGTATCCAGGTTACACATCCTCTGCAGGATGGAGGTATACGCCAGGAGATGGATCCAGGTCAGGGAGACCCGCACCTCCTTGCCCATGCCGTTGTCAAGGTTACTGAGGATTGTGACGCTGTGTCTGTCCCTGCTTAGAGTCTCTTCCACCGGCTCCAGTGGCTGGTTGCTTGTCAGAGCTGTGGGAGGGGGAGTTAGCACTACCATGTCACCTGGTTCAAAAATAAAAGGTGCATGGAAATTCGCTATTGAAATATAAATACTAACAATGTGTTCTCCTTTTATTAGTTTTTTACAAGAATAGGAAAGATCAAGGAGTTCAGATGCACCTATAGCAATAGCAGTAGGATCAAGAACTAAACTAAAGGAACTATCAGAAGCAGTTGATATCATTTTGTAAATCATTTAGTCATAGTCAAACAACTATGCTATTTTAATAGATTGAATTTTCATAGTTTCACAATCAAAAAGGATTTTTTACCTGTAAGACTTTCGCTTACTCGTTGCTGCAGGCATCATCAGACTGACGTTTTATCGCCGCTAGATGGGGCAGTACGACAGTCCGACAGTCCGTGTGGCGATAAAACGTTGGTCTGATGATGCCTGCAGCAACAAGTAAGCGAAAGTCTCACAGGTAAAAAATCCTTTTTGATTGTATAACTATGAAAATTCAATCTATGGATAACATGTACTACCAATCAGATGAACCTCTTCAAGAACTACACTATTTATATGATATCGAGCTAAATGTAATTGTAGTCATTTTATCCAGGGTACAGATCCTTCAACGTGCTTTCCTCTGTGTGACAGGCGCGGATCCAGGATTTCTCAGGGGAAGGGGCCCAACTTTTTTTTTTTTTTTGCTCCCGAAAATTTGAAAATCGCGCTGACCGAAAAGTCGCTCGGGGGGGGGGGGGGGGGAGGTGAGCACATTTTTTTTTTTTTGGGGTCCTCAAAAATTAAAAAATTTGCACCCCCCCAAAAAGGTAAAATTCACGGGTTTTTACATGATTTTTTTCTCAAGGGGGGGGGGGGGGCCACGTGGGCCCCCCCCCCCCTGGATCCGCCACCAGTGTGTGAGACAATTATCGTACCAGACTGACTGTCGATCACTAGTGACATAGTAAAATATGATATAGAATTCAGTTGAATACAGTCAGATAAAAACTAGGATATAGTGTGAAAAAATCTACATATTTATTCTAAGAAAAATATATATAGAATAAGTAATATATAAATAGGTAAAATAAAAGAGTAAATCTACAGAGAAATTTATGGCATACCATTCATATCACCAAACAGATCCTGTTGAATAGGAGCCGATAGTTGATCTTTGACCTTCTCTGTCAGGGTCAGAGAAGTCACACTGGGGTCACCAATCAGCAGCGTCTGGGTTCGCTGAGCAAGGGCGATAGCTGTGGCACAACGCATGGCAGTCCAGGCAGCTTGTCTCTCGTTCTGTCTATCCTTGATGAAGTTATGTCGTTCCTCCTCTTTCTTCGTTGTAGCCTTGTTGGAGGCTGATGTGATGTGGGAGGACTTTTTTGCTGATGGAGTCTGAAAAGAGATGAGAGGAGTCATGAGTATACACATTCAGTGTTTTTTCGTTTTTTTAAATATCAGTCATTTCCTTTGTGACTCATGCATTGCAAAGTAGAAGACTATTGGTAACAATCATATTCTATTTCATTTCTATTTCTTGAGATAAGCAGAACAAAATGAGAACATATTTATGTCCTCACTTTCACCCAGTTACTAATGATTAAATATTCATTGTTCCAATCTCCAGAACGGTTTTGAATAATCTAATACAATAAGCAATAGCAAATTTTGCTATTGGTCCAGTTTCAATCCACATAATGAGTGCAATTATAATTTATGCAGTTCGCAAAAATTTCTTGCTGCAGATATTACCATCAGCAACTACTTCGAAGTTTCCTGTTTGACAGTACACAGATTTCACATTTCTTATTAATATAAAATGTTGTATGTAATAAGATCAAATTGGTGTTCTTACTCTGACTTTCTTCTTAGTGCTGGATAATGGTTTAGAGGGATTAACATTCTTCTCTGTAGTGGTGTCTGGTGGGGGCATTGGTGGCTCTGGCTGTTGACTACTGCTAAAGTATACCACTGCCATCTCAAGGTATGCTTGTCGGATCAACCTATACAAGGAAGGAGTGATTGAGGAAGCATGAAAGAGATAAATGCACAATCATTGAAAATGGCGATATACTGCTCTCTGCTTCTACAATCTCTTATCTGAGTTCAAGCTCATCCAAGGCTTTCTGATATTTATGGAAAGCAAGTTTAGTTGGTTCATTACAAAATCTTAAACTATTTAAAATGATAGCACTAAATATTATGCTAAATGATTGGTCCAATCATATAACAATGTCTGATTTCAAAACATTATCACTAATCCTGAACTTCAAATCATCTGTGGCTGATATTCAGCTATGTAAATCTGCATCAATACGAAATGTACATATCATCACAGCAATACACATGGGTTACAGCGATAGAGCTAGGAGTGAACATATCTAAAAGTACATTGTCTGATAAGAAAACATCTTTACATTTTGCATAACTATTTTTGCAGTCTAATTGTTGAGTGATAAAGGATATTCATTTGATATTTGCTTCTATTAGGTTATAAAAACCTGAGGTTAGATGGCTGATTGTTCTTGTGAACTTACCCTAGGTCTTGATTGGCCCCCATGCTGGTAACGATAGCCTCCATCAGTGTGTTACCAACCACCCTAGCCTCACAGGCCCGTGGACCACCTCTCTGGTGTAGCTGACTCTGAACCTTGCCTAGCTGTAGAAACACTTCAGCCAGGACTGCAGCATCCTTGATCACACATACCCTGCAGAGCTCTAAGGCTGTACCCAGGACACCCGCACTGATGGCCCAGGCCTTCAGAGGATCCACCTTCTCTGTATTCCTGTCATTAATAAATAAATGTAATATATTTTTCTGTTTGCATCAAACCTCTTATTAAGAACTTGATTCAATCCCCTTTACAGCATATCTGTCAGATCATACACATGTGGTCATATACTTGTACAGAGATTAGTCCTACAAAAACAGACTGGTCTAACATTGAGGCAGCCTTTGCACATTGTATATACACATGGTTGTATGAATTGGAATCAGTGTATTGATAAATACACACTGGACTTTAAGGATGCTCTGACAGCTATAAAGTGGAATTCCTTTTTACCCATGTGTCTATGGAATGGACTAAAAATCACTAAATCCCTTTAGGTAAGAGCCATGGAAGATTTTCATCTGTAAATATCTGAGATCAAATGATTCAGAGAAGCCTTTATCAACGCATGAACTGTGGCATAAATATATTTTTTATATTTTGAAAATACCCTTAAAGTGCCCCTCCCCCATACATAAATAATTTGTATGGAGCTGGCTTTGTTTTGGGCAACAAGTATACTGAATAACAAACAAGCAACATACCTGTACCTAAATACTTTAAGAATTCAGCACAAAAAAAAAGACCCCCCAAAAAGTATAATCACTCACTTCTTTGACTTGACCTCCTGAGCTGTAGTGGCTTGTCTAGCCAAGGCGTGTCCTAAACGCAGCTTGATCTTGGCCAAGTACAGCAGGTGTGGAAGGTATAAGTTCTGAAGTGGGCTGGTAGGGGCAGACAGTTCAGGGTGGATGGTGTGCCGGGATGTGGAGTCACCAAGCAACTTGATCTGTAACATAGAAGACAGAAAATGAGAGGAACAGTTTATCCATTAAGCCATTGCTCTAGTTTCTTAAAGCACCACTGCACTACTTATAGCTACTTGCGCCCTCTATATAGCAAACAATGCCAAATTGGCGACCATTGGTCCCCATGATCCTCTTTTACTTATGTTAAGTGGGAGCTGATTTGATGAGATAACCACCTGTCAGTGACCTTGCAGGGAGGTCTATTCCTTCCTGGCCAAACTAGTGCAGAGGGGCTTTAAGAGAAAAGCATTTGCTTATGGGGATGTCATGTGGACCCCTTATGAATAACAACATTTGTGTTGATCAGGGTGTTCCACCTCACTTCTGCTAAGACATTTTTTTTTTAAATACCTGCTGCAGCAACATATCCTGTGTCTCGTGGTAAGCCTTGAGGAGATGCTTTGTGATTGGGCAGCCATGCTTCTGCTGGTAGGCCGTAGCGGTCAAGGCCTCTAGGTCAGCCAACTGGACCTTAGCTAAGATGACCAACAGACTGGCAGGAGGAGACAGGGTCTGCTGACTACTAAGCAGGGTGATTACTTCCTACAGATGAAGATGTCAATGAGGGAGGAAATCAAGGATTAAACTTACAATTGCATTGTAATTTATTATGCAGTTCATTCATAAAAACATACTGTAACTTGTTGTGCTTTAAATAAAATCATCTTATGAAAGCCAGGGGGGGGGGGGCATTGACTCATATCAGGATAAAGATATAATGGCCTTCCAGCTCTTAGCCAACTACTAGTATATATAAACAAGCTTGACTATGATCGCAGTGACTGTATGTTTACATAAATAAATAGTATTAGATCTTCTGCTGAGAGCCTGACATGCATTAGCTCACCATTATGAACATAAAAATCAACGAGTTAATGCCCTTCTAGCTTGGCTTTTAGAAGACAAATGACAAGATTTTCAATAAAATTAGGACACCTCATTGAGCAGATGACTATTCCACAGTATACGCTGAGAAGTGAAGAAATTATAGGGGTTAGAAAGTTTTGTGAACTACATCTCTGAAATCACTTGATAAAGTCTTAGAATGGACAAGAGGGAGCAAACATAGTGGACCAAACCATGGTAAATAAATGCATGATCAAAGCTTGATATAAATGCATGATCAAAGCTTGATATAAATGCATGATCAAAGCTTGATATAAATGTATGATCAAAGCTTGATATAAATGTATGATCAAAGCTTGATATAAATGCATGATCAAAGCTTGAAATAAATGTATGATCAAAGCTTGATATAAATGTATGATCAAAGCTTGATATAAATGTATGATCAAAGCTTGATATAAATGTATGATCAAAGCTTGATATAAATGTATGATCAAAGCTTGATATAAATGCATGATCAAAGCTTGAAATAAATGCATGATCAAAGCTTGATATAAATGTATGATCAAAGCTTGATATAAATGTATGATCAAAGCTTGATATAAATGTATGATCAAAGCTTGATATAAATGTATGATCAAAGCTTGATATAAATGTATGATCAAAGCTTGATATAAATGTATGATCAAAGCTTGATATAAATGTATGATCAAAGCTTGATATAAATGCATGATCAAAGCTTGATATAAATGCATGATCAAAGCTTGATATAAATGTATGATCAAAGCTTGATATAAATGTTTTGTCCATACCTTGAGGGTGTGTTGCACATCATCCAAGGCTCTACCATCATGCATATCCAGCAAGGCACCCTGCATGAGGAACTCAGCTTGCATCTCAACATCTCCACAGGCTTCTGCTTCAGTCAGACCCTGCATGCAGTACTGACGACACTCACCAACCTCACCAGCACCACCAGCACCTAAAAAGTGAGAATTGTAGTCAATGACATTTAAAGGGAGTCACTCGTCAGTTTCCATGTGCAGAAGGCCATAATTCGCAGACACCAGACTTGCTAGAAAAAAAGTCATTAACGTAAGTAGTTTGTACAGGTCTCCACACAGCGAACCCGTTGGCCAATCAAGAAATATCCCCTCCTCTCTCGAAACTCTCTGGGTAAGGGAAACGCGAGATAATGGCTTTACCATGTGGGAGAATGGGTGGAAAACGCTTTACATTACATAAGGCCTGCTGGTCATAAAACTGAAGGCTAACTCGGGTGATTGACAGCACCTCTTATTGGGTAAACACCGAACGGTGTTGAATTCCCCCGGAGAGCTAACTACTATGTGTCTTTGACATACATGTGGATGCTATCGATCGGGTCCATGAACAAATACACAAGATACAACAGAGCTGTGTTGTGTTCAAATATGCCTTCCACCATTCCCCGACCCAGGATAGAAAAAATGTTAAATGTACTGTCCCTAGGATAGAGAAATGGTATTTAATGGTAGTCTTACAATATGCAAGAGAACGATGCCCTGTATGCAGTTAAAACCCACAGCACTTTCCATACAGATGAGGGTTAAATCATATAGGTACATCTTCTAGGCCTCATCATTTAACTCTTCTTTTATATTAGCCATTCTTTCAAATTCTAGTAATTCTCACCTGGTAGAACACCCATGCCTCTGATCTGCATCATCAAGCACTTGACCAGAGAGAGACGACAATCAAGCCAGAGACGAGCATCCAGTCTGGAGCGACTCTGGAAGTTCTGATACTGATACTGCGGCTGATCGATGACCTCCTCACTGCTCTCTATGTTGGTATTAAACATGTTGGATGAGAGCTTTGTGCGGCTGCCTTTCATCGATGAGGGTCTGCAGTGTGGAATCAAAACCAAAAATAAATCTCCACCCTATCATTTCTATTTGTACTTTGATCAAACAATATACAATACATGAAAAAAGACTGACGTAAGCTTTCTGGGACGCTTCAAGGTAAATCCTTCAAAGATGAGATTGTGTTGAACTATGGCAATTTTTCACAACTTATTAAGACATTCACTCATAGGGCATCAAGAAGCGCAGCTTTTTTTCTTAAGAGTTTTTTTTTTTCTTTTCTTTTTTACATATGAATACATAGAACAGAAATACTGCCTTTCCAAGTATACACAAACCTTGCGTTTATTTGGCAATCCTAAAATGTTAATATTGACAAATCTTAACCTTAATCGCTTCAATCAGATATGATATTAAAAGACTAGCATAAAGAGGACTTTTTATCCTCAACTGATACAAAGCTGTATTATTTTAACTACTACACTGATGAAAAGGCTCTCTCTTGACCCAATCTTTAGATTTGATTTAATTTGATTTTAGTACAGCACAGATTTCCCAAGACTCCAGCCCAAGTTATCTTGGGGTGGAGCCATTAGGTGAAATCAAAGTGGCACTGAGGATCATTTTAAGAGAGCAATCACTGACCTGCGACGAGAGATGGACTTCCTTGTTTCCCTGAAGAGATCACTGGCCTGGATGTCATGAAGAGCAGAGATAACAACTGCAGCTCCAGACTGGGATAGATGATACTCTCTCAAGATGGCTGCTTGCTCTAGTTTGGTGAGGACTACCAACTCTAGCTCAGACGCTGAGAGATTCTTCGGAGCTACATAGGATGTGAGATAAAAATGGATTTAAGTCGGTGATGTAGTCATTACCTGCAAACTGAAGCAGAGCCTTACCAACACAGATTTCCTTACAGTCATTAAAATTCAAAGCCTCCCTTTCTAACCTCAATGTCCTTATAAATAGACCAAGGTAGGGGTCAATGTATGCAAATTATGACCATGGTGTTATGTACTTGACCAATTTTCTTTATACCTCATATGCATGGGCTTGTATAAGATTACGGGAAAGCCCAGAATGAAGGAACAGAATTACTTACAGTGTTCTTGAAGTACCTCCACCATCAGTTTCAACACCTGATCAGCAGTGCTTAGAAGAGTACCCTAGAATACAAGATACAGGATTGGTAAACAAAACATTCAATATATTGTTAACATATAACAAAACTTCCTGTTAAGGAAAATAAAAGATACCGCCTCTTGTAGGTTGTAAAATACATTAATAAATTAGCACCTGCCAGATTCATGAAATATATTGCTTGATGAAATTGGAAAACAATATTCCATGAATGATGAGATATGTGTGAAAAGTCCATTAAATAACTTAAAACCCCTCTGCACTTTGGCATGGAGGGATAAAACCTCCCTACTAGGTCACTGGCAGGTGGTTATCTCATCAAATCAGCTCTCAATTAACATAAGAGAAAGGGCATCATGGGGGATCAACAGGTACAACTTAGGCATTGTTGGCTGTATAGAGGGCGCAAGTAGCAATAAGTAGTGCAGTGGGGCTTTAAACATTGTTAAATAAGTAATTTATGCACATTTGAAGGTCCTTGTTTCATTTAAAGATAACCAAATTGATAATCGTGATGATATACTTACTTTGATCTTCTCAAGAGTGAGCAGATTAGATCCACTGGAGAACTTCTTCACTGTGACCTCACTCAGAGGAACACTGTGTAAGGAGTTATCATCTGCAAACACCACAAAGTAAACAACATAAGTTAATCCAGTGCATACATATTCTTTCAAATTCTATCAAATGCAGGTAGTTGTGCATTACAACAGGTACATCGTAATTTGATTCAGTGTAGCAGAGAGGAGACCCCATTGCACGATTTGGCAATGATTTTTAAGAAGCAAGCAGCAGATTGAATCCATGAGCAATTATTAACTGAAGAAAAACATATGTTAATAAAAATTCTTTTCCATACTGATTTACATTGTTATTTGAAAGGGAAAAAATATGAACCTTGGTATAAACTGCACATAAAGCAGTAATATGGCTTCATTATCTTCTCTAACACATATTTAATTACATAAGCCAAATGATGAATAGTACAGTGTTTCGTGAATATATTTAACAAATAATGCATACATATACATCACACACAGATATTATTAAAGAGGTTATTACCATCATCCTTGATCAACTTCTGTCCATTCTTAGAGTCTTTCTTGGAGGTCTTGCTAGGTCTATTGACTGAGCTCACTGTGACTGGAGATGCACGCTGTGGAGGACTTTGGCTTTTAAGACAAAAGAAAGATCATATAATTTTTTGAGTTTTAACACATTTCTTTCAAACAGGATTTGATCAGTAAAAGAAGCATGATTTGTCATCATTGAACTTGATAAATCATTAAATGTAGCCAAAGGCCTTCACTGACTAAACTACTGCTTATCATTTGTACAACTACTATTTACTTGCAGGTTTATTTGATATCTTACTCCTATAGTATGATGTTATATCAAATAGCCATTTTCAGAGACAACAAAATCATAGTACCTGTAATTACATTCAAAGAGCAGGAAATGTGTAAGTTGTTACAATATAACTTTATTAAGAGTTCAAAAGGCTTGCACACATCCAACATAAGAGAAATGAAAACATTGTGATTGTAATTTCAATCAAAGAAAATGTGTATATTGTAACAGAAGAATACACACTTACAACATGTATGATTATATCAATACCAAGATCATTTTCTTCCTTGTCACATCAACAGGAAATGGAATTCACTGTATAAATAATTTTCATCAAATACCTGACTGTTTCCTTCTCTGGAATGACATGTATAGTCGATGCTAGCGCCACCATGAGGTGAGTCTGAGCCAGGGACAGGTGGCAAGTCATGTGTGGGCCGTAGAGAATCGCCAGAGATGGAGAAACACGCTTCTCCATCAAGTACTCAAGCATCTATACGATGTAAAGATAAAAGAACATTTTGTTTTAAGAATGTTACTTCACCTTTATCACCTACATGATAATTAACCTAATTTGAAGATGAATTTTTGTTTTGCTATGTCAAAGCTCAAAATATAGTTCTTTTCATAAAGGAAAATAATATGATATTACTAATACATGAAGAATGAAAATCTTTAAGCAAAAATGGAAGATATATATTTATATATATTATTACTCTTTATCACAACGAGAACAGACCAGATATACAGACACATTTGGTGGTAACTCTACTGTTTGAGATCGGCTGTATGATCTGCATATGAATGAAAAACTCCCATGAAGCTTCGTAATGTTTATACAGGTTTATGTTGTGCCATTAATCAATTAGCAATATAGCCACTAGTGTCAGACTTACCTTTAGATTTGCTGGCTCTGTCAGTGGTTTTCCAGTGTCAAATTTCTGTATCAGCTGTTTTCGACAAACATAGAAATAGCATGTAATAATCACTGTCTGTATGATATCAAAAGAACATAGCTTACAGAAATGTACATGTAATAAACACTTATGTATATACGAGTGTTCAGTTCATAATCAGAAATATACTATTGTTTGAACAAAATATCTGTCACAGTTATTTTCAATCTTAAAGATCTGACATTTATTCTGTGCAAATAAATTCACTCAGGTTTCCAATGTGTTGCAATATACATGTACCATACACCTTATACAAAAACATAAACTAATAGAAAAATCGATCATGATGAAAATAATCATTGTTCTCTTGTGTTTTTATCCACCGATAGTATTTGCATGATCCCAACAGTTTGTAATAACTGATTTAATATAAAAAGCAGTACGGTACATTCAAGGGGTGAAATATTGTAATAGCAGTATAAAGCTATAGTATTTTTAGACAACTAATGACATACCATCTTAGATTCCACTTGTCTGAAGTTCTTGTCAGCCGTCTGTGGGAGTCTCTCTCCATGCAGTAACCGTCCCAGGACGATGTAGGCTTCTTTGTACAGACCTAGATCTGTCAGGATCCTCGACTAAAGATACAATGGGTCAAAAAAGTATTACTGATTTCTCTGGGGTAACAAGCCTAAAGGATTTAGACTTGATGATCGTCAACTGATGGAGATGGATTGAATTAATGTCCAGACTAGACACTGTTGGGTTTGTTTGCTTGTCATTTTTTACCAAAATCAATAAATCACATCTTCTTTTTTTCTTCAAATCATAGACATTGCTGTCCCCAAAAGTACTGAAATGCCCTCTGGACTACTCAAAGCCACATTTCATTCATTGCAAACAAAATATACCACAGCAGCGTTCATGTTATTATACAAGATGCTGCGCTGTCTGCTGTGGGTTGAAAGCTAGAGGGTATAGCTCCTGTGTTGATGTTTCTTACAGCATATCAACTAGATATGTTCAATTTGAAATGTTTAATGAGTTCAGGAAGGTTACCTTCAGGATTCTGCCATCCACAGCTCTCTGAAGGTCACGACACAAGAAGGTCACAATGTACTGGTAGAGGGTCAGCAGTGGAAGTACCTATCGAGAGAAAGAAAAAAAAGACAGGGAAAAAATTAAGATTTACAGACATATGAACTCTAACTCTTGCCTTGATCTGATTATGATTATATAAACTTGCACTACCAACAAGTTATGTAAAAACTGAGGGTTTTTTATCATTAGGATTCATGCATGTGCATCATACAGGTTCAATTCATGAGATTTCACACAATGCACAAGAACATAGTTAAGTACAAACCACTGGAATTTAACATCCAGGGAAATGAAATGAAAACTGCCATCGTATGCCTTTTCTCACATTCTAGAGGGTTGCTCAAACAGTCAACATTTTATTAAAAAAATCATGGTATACATGATAGAAACTCACACACTGGTGCTAAAATAGTGGGAGTACATCCAAGTTTTATACATACCATGAGATTGTGTTTGGCTCTTGACAATTCTTCCGCGACCCATCGCAGGGTTGCTATCAAGCTCCTGCCCTCACATCGGAACCGGTCCGAGAGGAGATCCACCCCTGGGACCAGGTACTGCACCTCACACCCTTCACCGATCTCATAGAGGGCGTAGTCTCTGTCTGCGGTAGGGTGGGGCAGGGTCGTACGGAACAGAGCCTTGAAGAGGAACGCAGACAAGAAGCAGGCTTCCAGTTTCATGCCAAGGTCAGAGGTTAACACATACCTACAAGAAACAAATGCAATGGAGAGCTTTGATGGTGACATGAACTTAACCTGGAAAAGTTAGTTAAGAAAGTTTTTTGTGACTTCCCAGCATCTTTATATATATATATACATATTGAAATAACACTCTGGTAATTTATTATCAATATATAAAGCTATTAGCTTTTCCATTGATAAAATATTCTGAATACAAAAAAATGGGTACAGAATCACAGCGGATCTTTCAAAAGCCTTTATACTAGTGCCAAAGATAATCAAACAGAGATTCATTAGTATAGTGCCAAAGCCAAAGAAAGAGCATTTTACAGCTCCAAGATTTCTCAGGAAAGCTTTAAATACCTACTAAAAGCTGTAGCTAACAAATGTTGGGTCAATGATCAATATGCTACTTACTGAGCAATCTTAGCGGCCAGCATAGCCCCTAGGAGACATCCCCACATGCCACATCTGTCAAGCAGTTGACTGCTAACATTCTCTGCTTGTTGGTCACTCAGTAACCTCCTCCATGTGGTTAAGGTGTCGTTGGTTCCTAAGATCAGATCTAAGGCTTCACTCCACCACTTGTATGCAGCCCTGTACACAAGGAACATGAAAAATTACAATATGGTTAAAAAAACACTTATATATAGATATATGAAAGACAGCTTTAAATGGATTACCAATGAATTTAGTGGATTTCTCCAAATCTCCAAATGCTCCAAATTTTACTGCACCTGAGAAATGTAAAACCAACACAATAGGTATAGAAATATCTAGTATCTTTTTCACTGGCTGTGTGTGCAATATATTGTGACACACCACAAATATGGCTTGCTATCAATACCCTATGATTTATGGATATCTTTTTACACTATCCGCCTATACTCAATTGCTTATACAAGGCATTCTCTTCATAATGTTTTACACTCTACCTGCAATTTCTAGACACTGCATGAAAATAAAATTGTGAATTGTATTTAACAACATCTTCCTGTATAAATAACTGTCTGCACTAAAGAAAACAGATATATGTATATATTTCAAAGAATCAGTCATTACTCACTTGATATTGGATGCATGGTAGTGGATGTTTCCCAGTTCATGCATGGCCTGAGCTGCTAAGCCTGACTGCTTACGGGCCATCAACATTTCTGTACAGAAATATAGAGAAATCACATGTCATAAAAAAATGAGTGACTTCTCGTCCGTTCAATTAACTATTTTCTACCACTTTTCAAATAAATTTTGAAAAAAGCAATAAGCAGATGGTGGATGTTCATCAAAATATCAACAACTACTAAATAGACAATAGATCAGGGGCAGACAAAAGGGTGGGTTTGTAGTACCCTTCGAGGATAAAAGGCTCAGCTAACCAGTTTGCCTGTGCATTCTTTTAATTCATTAATGTACCAACAATATAAGACAATATGTTACATCATCTTTGCCTATAAGACCTTAAAATTTACCTATTGTCTTGTCATAGGAGGACACAACCACAGCAAGTTGGGAGGTAGGGAGGGCTGCAGTCTCGACCTCTGACATTGACTTGAACTCTGACCTCATGAGGTCAGGGGGTACTGGTATCTGAGGCTTGTCATCGGTCTCCGAGAAGCCCACTCTGCTTTGCTCTGCCGTTGGGCTCATGCTTGGTTGAGCTACAAATCAACATAAAAGAAATGAACATTTCTTTAGTTTTATTATGTTATTTAAGATGAGAAGGCCGATGTTCGATGAATTGGATACTTTTGAAAATGAGCTAAGTTACTTAAGAATACAAAGATCGCACACCTATAATATCTTGAATAAATTGATTTTAATATCTCTTAATACTCAACATCTCTTAAACCAGTCTGAATTCCGGGATTGCTATTTACCAGTTTGTTAATTACATGCTTACATCAAACCAGTAACATTGTTAAAGGTTGATGAAAAAAGTGTGTAATTTTTGTATAAAATGTTACTTAGTATATTCCTTCTACCCTACTAACCCTCTAGCATGCAAAAAATCCTGAACAAATTTCTCATACGACAAAGATATTTATGGTTTTCTTTGAAGGCATCACTGTGCATCACCCTCTAACATTGACTTCTCCCAACCAATTTTTGAATTTTCCCAACCATTTTTTACAATCATATCTTAAACAGTTTTCATATTGTCTACTGAGAGGCAGAAGGGCATCAATCAACTCATAAAATACTATCATACAGAGTTAACATCCTTCTGGCTCTCAGCATCCGATCAATATCTTTACCATTCTGTTGAGTAGCCAGATAGAGGACCATGAGACGTCTGCTGTGCTGCAGGGCTCTGGCAGTGTAGTTAGACTTCTCCAAAGCATGGCGGAATCCTTCAAGACTGTCATCTATATCCAAAGGAACACTGGACACCTTAAATGCATCGGATGCTCCTGTGACAGATTAAATACAAGTGATGAACTTCTCAAGGATGATCAATATAATCAATATGTCAATTCATTATTTCAATAAAAAAGAATTTATCACGTTAGAAATAACTCACACCTTTCTCCATGTCTCATATTCTTATATCAATTTAGAAGTAAGAAAATAACTTGTAAAATATCAAATTATTCACCACTTAAGGTCATGACTAACTATGTCCCTGTTGGTAGTTATTCAGATGGTTCTGTAATGAGCTGGACCATGAACTCTTTGATTTCATCCAGTTCATAATTGCTTTAAAAAAAAAAATGCTACATATATATAATCATTTCTTTAAAGTATCATGTTTTCCCCTAAAACAAAGTATCATCTGTATTGTAGGAACCAATGTCCATTTACCTAGTCATAGCCTTTGCTCATTCACATGTGAAAATACAGAGATCTAGCAGCTTGCAATTGCAGTTACACAAACCAGACCTTATCACATATAATCAATGACTATGTGCTGACAAAGTTTCCAGGGGACATAAGGAACTAAATCTTGTATCAGGTAATGCCCTAGCTTACCTGCCTCTCTAACCTTCACTTGTCCCTATAGCTGAAATATTATATATGAGAGAAGATTTGACATACCTCCATAGACATGGTGTCCCTCAGGGTCGATCCTACCACCCATGTCCAGAGGCTTCATCATTGTCTCATCAAAGGCGACCTTCAGCTGTATGTCCATGTAGTTATCAGCAGTTACCTTGTCTACACCGTGCTTCTCAGCAGCAGCCTTGAAGTGAGCCTGGACCGGAGACTCTCCTCCGTAGGCCAGGACCCTGGAGACTAGCTTGCGCTGGGCCTGGACTAAGAGAGGGCTGACTACCTCAGAGTAACGTTCCCTAGAAGAAAAACAGAATATGATACATTAGAAGATTTAGATTTACTTGATATAAAGTAACTGTATAATGCATGTCAAGTCATTTGAGACATTGCAATATTTTGTACAATACCAAGGACAATGTCTTTGATCTACCAGTGATCCAATTGTACTCCTGCTATGCTTGCTCTAGGCTTTCCTCCATCAAACATATAAGGATACAGTTAGGGTTTGTGATTGTTTTAGGTTGGGTTAATGTTAAGAAAGATGAATAGTATAGTGTTTTGAGTCAGGATTGGAATTTAAAAATTCACTGAGTGTAAGAATTCACCACGGAGCAATTTTCATCAGGGTGGACGTGTGCCATACCCTTGCTTCACTGTCAAATACTTCATGTTTGAATGAATTGATAAGTATTTGAGAGGGAAACTGTAGCTTACTGAGTCAGGACGTTGAATCTCATCGCCACATCGGCCAGCCTCTCCCACTTCTGTTCATAGTAGAGCATCTCCATAACCCGTAGCACCATGCGTCTGATCCAGCGGGAATCCACACTGCTCACATCATCCAGAGGGGATTCAAACTTAAGACTGGCACCACCTTTCTCATCAGATACAGAACCAACCCAGGTGTTCAGAAGGACATCGGGCTGAGATTCCTTCTTCTGATGACATAAGGAGATGGGACTTAGTTTCTGATGTTAAACAAGATTATACAGTCAAACCTGTCTTAGAGGCCACCTTTCTACAAAGGCCATCTGTCTATAGTGGTCATACATTGTGCTTCAATCGATTGTGGCTTGAATACTTACCCTTAGATTATTTTCTTGAAAATGCATTTAGATGAAGTTTTCTTTCTCAACAGGATGTAGAAATTGATATCTGAAAAGATTTATTCCATGGAACGTACTGTCTGCTTCAAGGCAATTGAAGACAGGCAGAAAAAATTGAATTATGTATTAAGGCTCTTTACAAAAATGGTTTTGTTGTTGTTTGTGCAAGTCCAGGTTATTTGGTCATCTAGTGTCTCATATGTTACCAAGTATTATAGAATTCTGAACATAACATCAAGTGAAATCAAATGAGTCATCATAAAGTCATCAAGGTATGGGACACACTGACTGGATTACCTTATTCTGCTTATCCGTCTCATTCTGCAGATGGACCAGCATGTCAAGCAGACAGTCTACAGCCAAGAAGAAAGGGAACCACACCACTCCTCTCAAGGCATCTACAGTCAACAGTCCTGCAGAGTGGCCACCTGAGAAGCAGTAGAGGATAGCTGTATGGGCACAGTTCCACATGCTACGACAGGCATTCTGGAGCAGGGACCAGTGGTGACCACGATGGGCTAGTATCTGAAATACAAAGTTATGACATTGATATGCTTTGATGGAATATGAACAATAGGAAAATAATAAATTTTCTACACTTTTGGTTGCAAAACAGCTCAAAGTAAAGCATTTAAAGGAGTTGATCTATGTATGAGAGTTGCTAGTGGTGCAATAGGTGAATATTGTAAGAAACTCCTAATCTTATGGCCTGTATTCTAGAGAATTTCAAGCTGACGCTGAGTTTAAGCTTTTGTCCAAAATCAGCTTTAACGAAGTTCAACTGAATTAGGAGAATACAGACCATGGAGGGTAAAATCACACCAAATTTGGTACAACAACACTATTCCAGTCAATGCTAAAATATTTACCAAACATAGCATAAAAAACTAATGAGAATGTAAATGAGAGAATTAGATTCAAAAACCGTAAGTCAAAACTAAAATCTCCAGGTAATTGCAGGTTTTTTATGACACAATAAGCAAATTGTGTAGGTATGCAATAAACTGAGGTTTTCACATACTGGTACTACCAGAAATGCATTAAAAAAGAGAAAAATTGAATTCTTGCTGACATTTCAAATTTATTGCAGTTTTGCACAAACTACCAACAACACCTTGAAATAGACAAATCATGAAGGATATTCTGACACTTACCACAGCTTTCCTCAGATGTTCAAATGTTTTTGTGAGACTATCGATGGTAGCCTCAAGAGTGAAACCACTAATGTCTACGGATGGCTGAATGGCATTGGGACCACTCTTGCCAGTCTCTGTAGATCGGTATGTCTTCATAGTGTCTGATTCCTTGTCATCTGGAGGGCCTGGAAGGACGGGCACAGGCTCTCCTGGAAGCAAGATTTAGAATGCATGTATGATGTTACATTAAATGATCATAATTGGTTCTTGGTAGGTGATCCTCAAAAATACTACTCATGGAGTTTTTAACTGGAGGTGGTAGTAGAGGTGGATTTAAGGGGAGGAGAGGGGACCCTTTTTAGGAGGTGAGAGGGGCTACCTTAAATTTAAGAGTATTTGGTTGGGTAACTATTGAAGGATACAGATTGTTTGAAGTTTTGATTGTGCAAGGGGAAAATAGTATTTATACACCTCTGACTTGGCTGCAGGTAATTAACCCATTGATAACTTTTTGTTTTCATTCCATTAGGCTTATTACAGGAACCAAATGGTTTCCTTAGGCAATGGATTAATACAATTCTTTAGAGCAAAACAAAAAAATGAAATACTCGATTGTCAGTGCAGACAGAACTCCAGTAAATGGAATAAATGGCTTATCCTTGCGTTTGAAAGGTCTAAACAGCAGCATGAGCTACAATTATTTCAAGAAGGCCTAGATGTATGTAAAGATAATTCTGTGAAGATTGCAGTCGCTTATACCAGCAATAACTCACAAATTTTGTACTAGGTCTAGATATGATAATAATAAATAAGATTATGAAGAAGAAACATGTTCTTACCAACTGAAGCAAGAGCAGCAGCCTCAATACCCGACGGTTGGTTGGTGAGGTATGGATTCATGTCGTACGCGTCTATCTGACGTAGCTGTTGAACGATGGGGTCACTCTGAGAGACTGCATCCCCCTCCCGGGTCGCCGTCCTTGAGGCACCCCCTTCCCAGCCTACCACAAGAGTGCTGGCAGTCTCAAAGGTGAACCACTCATTGTCCAGGTAGGAGGATCTACAGGGAAAGTGGTATTTATTATTGTATGTAAATACTGTGAAACCTGTATTCAGAGAGCCCTAAAGGGAGACAAGTAGAGTGGTCTCTATAGGCAGGTGGTCTCTATAGGCAGGTGGTCATTGTATACAAGTTCCTACCATAAGAGTGCTGGCAGTCTCAAAAGTAAACCACTCGTTGTCCAGGTGGGAGGATCTATGGGGAAAGTGGTATTTGTTAATGTATGAATATACTGTGAAACCTGTATACAGAGAGCCCTTAAGGGAGACAAGAAGAGGGGTCTTTATAGGCAGGTGGTCTTTGCATACAGGTTCCTACAAGGGTGCTGGCAGTCTCAGAGGTCAATATTTATTACATCATAACAGGTAGTTTGAGAATTCAAAACATATTGGCTTGTCCCCCAAACAAAAAATCATATCCTAATTTCAAATGAATTCTTTGCCTTACGACTGTTGATTAATAGAGCGAAGGATATGAAAACAAACCTGTAGATATCTCCAGCTGTCGGCCCAAGAAGTTTGTTTCTCTTCTCAACCTTGCCCAGAAACTGACCAAAATGACACAAACCTTGCAGGATATTCATCTATGGAAAGATAGAATATAATGGAAATTACATCAACCATTAACAAAACAATAGTCATGGTGACAACAGTAATTTTTTTTACACCTTTTGATGGATGTTAATCGAACCTCAGTCATTGTTTATTAATATATTTACAAATGTAAGTGCTTACAACATCATGGTATGTCACTACATATGAGATGCCTACGTAATCTGACACCGTCCTATCAATTATGGTCACAGCATACTAAATACGAGACAGAATAGATTTAACGCAGCTATCTTGTTCGATGTGAGTTATTCGAAAAAGTATATCAAAAGAATACTTCCAATCAACCAAATTTAATCGAAATCATACCTGTGATCTCCAAGGCATTTCATCATTAGAGATGCGCCTCAGTCTCATCTTCTTACGAGCAGTGCGGTAGAACTCTGGGTAGGTGCTTTCCAGTGTGTCAAATGCCTTTTGAATGACATGAAATAAATACAAACATGAATAGATAAACATTAAGTAGATATAACTATAAAAATGCATTGCACTGTGTGATAGGATATGAAAACCAGAATTCACTAAATCCATTCATTTCCTTGTGACTGCTCAAATCACATAATACTGACTTATCTTGAAAACTTTAATACCACTGGAATTTTGCTTTTAATGAATACACTTTAAATGATGAGTTTTATTAGTGATTGGAACTTACAATACATACAAATCTTCTAACAAAAACATTTATTAGAACAAGAGAAAAAGAGAGAGAGAGAAAGAGAGAGAGAGAGAGAGAGAGTCAGGCAGACAGAGACAGACAGACAGATGGGCAAAAAAATGGAAGGAGGGAAGGAACATCAATAACATGAGAGATAGACTATGACGGACAGATGTGTATACATGAATCCACAATACCATGAGTTCTTTATCCTCTTGCTGCTGCTTGGCAGAGTCAGACATACGAATGTTGGATCTCATGTGAACCAAGAGCTGGAAACCTTTCTTCCTTCGTCTTCGGGCTGGCTTGGTATCAGGCTGTTTGGCTTGAGCTTGCTTCGTACTGGCAGTCTGAAATTGTAATACAAGTATATCTACGTTTGAGTACCATATACATTATTATAAATGAAATATTTTGTTTCACGGTTAGCATGTCTTCTGAGGATGCAGCTACTAATATCAGCCTACTTAACACAAGCCAACATTATAATGTAGTTGTATTGCAGAAGGCTAAATAATACAATTATTTGTGTGACTTAATTCAATTTTTTTTTTCACTGATTAAAATGCGTAATCTTAAGTGTGAGACTACTTTAACCACGTGTTATGCAGGATGTGCCCGCTTGTTCCATCATCTTACATATATTTGCACAAATGTTATGTTTGAAGACAAGCTCGTAGCCAGGATTTCATTTTAGGGGGGCGGTAGTGAGCGCGCAATGCGTGCAAATCACTTACAGAATGCACGTAGCGCGCTCCCTAGGGGGGTGGGTGCAGGGAGGGGGGAGTTTCCCCCCTCCCACGCGAAGCTTAATTTGACGTTTCATTGAATTATTAAAGAAAGAAGAAGATTTGATGGACCGTCCTTGACTCTTAATCCTTATCTAAATTCAGTTTCTTTTGACATTTCATTAGAGAAAGAAGACGATATGTTGTACCGTCTTCAACTCTTAATCCTTGTTTGTTTGTTTCTCTTTTTTGTGGGAGCCAGTGTTTGTGTGAAGAAACTTTGAAATAATAAATGAATAAATTGAAACTGAAAATATATCTGTAAATATATAATTCTGAAAAGATGGTGTTATGGTGCAAATGATCAGTTGTTTGATGAATATGGATGTACATTAGTAATATAATGAGGCAAAAAATAACTCTCTGTTTGATTTGAACCTTCACTTGAAGCCAGGAACTAGTTAATGCTACAGAACGTATCAAAATATATCATTCTCTTAAGCTGTTGAAAAGGGTTTGATTTCAGTATCACAGACATCTCACATACACCCCAGCCAAGATTATCTCAGAACTCATTATTTGATGGGTAGAACATAAAACAAGGGTAAGTCAGACAGGAAGTACCTTGGAGTATTCCAGGACAGCAGCAGCATACTTCTTAGGATCATCTCCTGATACGATAGCTCCACCTGGTCCCTTGTTGAGGGTAGCCTTCACTGCTGATAGCTGGTCATTTCGTCTGAAATATTCATATAAAATGGGTCGAGTTTTACAGAAAATATTGTCTGTATGCTGGACGGGTGAAACAATTTCTACTCGCCACTGTCACTTTAAAACAATGACAATTTTCCCCATCTCATTTTGTATCTGTATCAAAAACTTTGGTACATGTAGCTCCTGCTTGCTAAACATGTCTCCCTTGATAATTTACATATTAACTATCAGTTGAAGGTGACATTTGACCTATGAAACTTTGAAAAAGCTTTTCAGAATTATTATTAACAAGGAAAGTACAGTGTCTTACAGACTTCTAACAGAATTAACAATGGTGTATGCTCACTTGCTAATATTCTGGTAAGGTCAGACTAAACCAGTATACCATAACTTAATGCAGAAGCAACCAATCTACTAATAATTGGTTTATCACTCAGATAGAATTTGCTTTTACTATTGACTATATATTAAACAGGCCCGTAAATAGGATTGTAGTGGGGGGGGGGGGTGCAGACATTATATGAGGTGGATCCTTTTGAGGGCGGCCAAGCGGGGGAGGGCCTGGAAAGTTATAATTTTTGCATTTTTCTATCTGAAAATCACGTTTTAGGTACAATTTTGAACACCAAAACAGTTTTACTAATAACTGTGTCCTATCTATGTTGTTTGCATTGTTGCATTGTTTTGGTTTTTTTTTTTAAGTGACCTCTTGTCGCTGCCCCCGCACCCCACTTAGTTATTGGCCTGTTAATGAAAATGAGACAGTAGACTAGACTTACCTAACAAGCCATGTGATGGTCTCTTCACACCATTCAATGGCCATATCCACCAATCCTTCACTCAGTGCCTTCTGTACAACCTGAACAAAGAACTCCAGGTAACGAGCCCGACGACGGAACTTAACCACTGGTAAGAGAAAACATAGTCAAATATACAATGTTTCAAAGGTCTAGGACAGAGAACATTGCATTATATTACATTGAAAAAATCCAATGCGATAATAATAATAATAAATACTTAAATTACTCAAGGCGCTATATAAAACAAAATACACAAATCTCTCTTCATAATTTAACAACATAATATCATTAGTAACTGTGAGTTTCACATGTTTCTGAAATACTCAAGTTAATTCGAAATGCACACGATTTACCCCATCTTCCCAAGCATTTAAAGTCCATCAAAACAAATTAGCAATTAAGGATATGCAACAAAAAATATATAGTCAAAAGAATAGAGGTCTGTACAGGTGATATTCAGTTTGTGGTTATCATAAAGTTTAATCCTAACAAACAATTCTTACCTTCTCTGTATGCAAGTCTACTTGGTAGTATGGCTATGAAGGCATGAAGGATGTTTGGATCTTCAGAACCTGTCAACTCATCAGCATTGTGAGCTAATGAATAAGAACGAGAGAGGGGGAGGGGGTAAATAAAGAGTGATATTTGATACAATCATGAAACAACAAATAAGTTTCAAAGAGAAGACATTAATAATCTACCTCATGTTCCATCTATTCATTTGTTATACAAATACTAAAAACAGTCCATGTTCAACATAAAATGAGATTGGAAAAAAAAAGGTAGCTACTCATAAATCACACAGTTGTGATATAAATGCTTTAGAGAATGATGGGTTTTATTCGTCAGTTAAGGTGGATACAGAGTTTGATTATCACAGCCTGAAAACATGCATGAAATGTGGCATTGTTTAAGGATATTAGGTGTATGCATCACATAAATGCTATTGAATACATGCATTCGGATGTAGTTTTGTCTCACCTATGCGTGAGAGTCTTAGCATGTGAGCTTCCAGGGCTCTCAGCTCATCATTCTGTACACCCTCCAGAGCTACTGCTGGCTGTCCTGACCGTTTAGCCCTACGTTTCTTCTGGGTCACATTGGCTACTCCTCCACCCTCACCATCCTCTATAAAGTCCATGGCACCTCCTTCAGACTTGCCACCCTTACCCTCATCCTGTGTAGAAGGCAAGTAAATGAGTAGACATTGTTCAATATCAATAGTATGAAAGCTTGAATCTATGGTTATCTCACAAAGGCAATTGTCTTTTTTCAAGCTAGAGTAATTCAAGGAAAGCATTAACAATTCCTGCACACTGATATTCAGTTTACTTCCATTAATACTTATTTTGTCCCCTCTGATTAAGTTTCTTCAACATCAATATGAAGAAAATATTTCATACAATGATCTTGCTGAAGATTTGCACCACATGAATATCAAGCATTTGTTCTGAACAATGATGATTATAGATTTTCAAGAATAAATATCTTTCAGTTTTATTAAATCAACTTGAGAAAAAAAAAAAAGGTAAAACCAATTCAAAGGATTAGATGTAACTTAATCACATCAACCTTTACAAAATTATACAATGCTATAATGAACTCATAAAATCAATATGCAACAAATGACAATCTTATAGATCTTCTGCTGAGAACTAGAAAGGCAGTAACTCTAACTGTAACATGGAGTGAACACAGTTCTATATAGGCCCTGTTTTCACAAAACTTGTTTTCAATAACAAGTTACAATCACTGTTATAAGCTACTGAAATCATGGCATTTGATTGGCTGAGAGCAATTTGTCAAGGAATTTTACCATTTGCTATTGATGACATGTTTTATGAAACAGGGCCCTGGTGTATGCTCTCACCACACAATATTGTGAGAGCAATGATGATATTGTACCATCTTTTGTTTGACCTTACCTTCTCCACAACAAGCATCTTCTTGCCGCTCTCAATGATATGATTGGCTAGAGATCTCTGCTTCCATGTCCTCAGCACCTTGGCCATGTAGAAAGTGATTGTAGCAACCATGTGATGCAGGCTGTCTGAAACAGACTGCTGCCGACGCTGTCTCATGCTGTTGGGGATATCCTGCAGCACCGCACAGCACTGAGTCAACACCTAGAAATATGGTCACCATTCATAGGAAAAACATGATTTGTAACTTTCAGGGCACACAAACAGCAGTATGCACTTCATAAAAACTATGGGCATATAAGTCATTACTGATGTGCTCATATATAACCTACAAGGAGCATGGGCATGGAATAAATCAGTCTACAAGAGCTGCTTTTTACTGTTGTCAAGGAAGCCTATTGCAAGTTCTAATTCATTAAGTTTATAAATCCAATATAAGGCACTTTATACATAAAGTATAGTTTACGTATGCGATGTTGAGTATACAATGTTGAGGAATTAACTAGTAAGGCACAGCATTGGTATTATACAGTTACCAAGAGTCCTTTTCAGGACTCCTCAATCCTCCCTCTCTCTCACATGGTGCACCTGCAAGCCTACTGTATATCTACATCACCATGCAAGCTGACACTTACAAGCAGCATCTAGCATTGGTATTGAAGTCTCTCCATTTATTTCACAGAATCTAACTAGGGTAATAAAGACATCATCAGATAGTGTATATCTTTAAAAGATTAACTAACATTAAATAAATTATGCTTTAAAATGGTATATAAAGCAAAAGTTGGAGAAGCAATCACTGCAAAATCTGGCCAAGTCACTCACCTGTACCACAGGGATAGATGGAATCTTGTAGTGAATGACAGGGGCTAGTAGCCCATAGCACTGTACAACAGCTTGGAGAGCCATGTTAGTCTCGTTCAACCAGCCAGCTAACTCAATGGCTACAAGCATCCGCTCACAGTTCTCAAGTCTCTGGGTCTGAAACAATTCAATAAACAAATCACTGTAATACTATGTTCAAAATAATAATAATAATATTCAATTTCTATATAACACTTAATACATCTCTAAGACGTCTCTCAGGGCTTTACAGATATACTATTACCCCGGTCATTGGATTCAGTGCTTGCCCACACACATTCATCTACATCAATATATCTTTTACATAGAGTAACAAAACCTGGATTGAGGCAACTGCCCATCTACATTATGTATGCGTGAAGACACTGTTCTTTCTAAAAACCTATGTCCTTTTCAAATTTATGGGAAAAGTGATATAACAATGTTTTTCCTGCCATTTATAGAGATGCTTGTGAGAGATTAGGAAAGATACTTATGGTATCGTCTTACCTGTCCTTTATAGTAGGGTCCGGTGTCGCAGAGCTTGTTACAGTAGATGTTTCCATCCCTCATAGAGATGTCCACGTTGATGAAGATGCTACTCAGAAACATCCTCAGCAGAAGGGGAGAGGCCACACTTGCTATCTCTGGATTCAACCTATACACAGGGGTATAAATCAATTCCAATTTGCCCAATAAGCATCAAGGAAATAAAGAGGTATACCCATGTGACATACAGATCCCACAATATCAACTCTGTATTTTGAACTGTTCATTGAATAAATTGCCAGTGGACAAAACCGATATCACCATATTTATTTAAGAAGCTCATTTTTTCAGACTTGTGACATCTGAATATTTTTTTTCTTTTTTTTAGGGGGGGGGGGGGGGTCAAAATAAATACCAGGCTTCAAACCAATCTCATGAATCATATCCTCTTTTTTTTGGGGGGGGGGAGGGGGCAATTCTACTGTTGTACTGAACAGAATATTTTATGTGACTTACTTTCTGAGTGTAAGCTTGTAGTCTTCTCTTGCTGTCTCAGTTTGAATCTCTGCAGACGGTGGAGGGATTGGAGCCACAAAGTGATCCCACAGAACTCTACTGGCTCTCAGTCCAATCTCATAACATCCAACCTGGTATGCAGCCTGATTAATGTCAAATGGATTAAGAAAACCAAATATTCATTGTAAAGAGTAAACAAATCTACATCTGGTATTGGTATGATAAAGGTAAATATACACACCGTTACAACTCATGATCAATATGGATCTGTTCATAACTAAAAAGGACCTATAGGCCCGGTCACACAGGCAGGACGCATGGGGAACGCACGGCCAGCGCATGGAAAATTTGCAATTTTGGCCAGTGCGTTGTCGTTCGCTAGGCGTGCGTCATCACTCGTTACTCGTTCGTCGAGCGCGCTGGACCCACGCTATGCATTCGTCGTCATACGCTGTGTGCGTCAGGATTTTTTGAGCATGCTCAAAAACGTGCGCCGAGCTAGACCAGCGCCAGACATGCGCGGAGCACACGCCCTGTATACGCACAGCGCGCTAGCTAGACGCTGTGCATTTTGTGTCAGCTCGGTAGCTTTTCCAAAATTATGACAAAAGTTAGGCACACGGCCTTTTCCTATTTCCAATGCGCTGGCCGTGCGTCGTAGAACGGGGTGCATGCGTGGACCATTCGTCCAGCGCGCTAGCAACACGCTGTGCATTCGTGGAAGTTGTTATCATGTGCGCTCTGTGTGCGCCCTGTGTGCGCCCTGTATGCGTCCAGCGCGCTAGCAACACGCTATGCATTTGGTGTCAGCTAGCTGTAGCTTCGACAAAAGTTGGGCGCACGACAACGCACTGGCCAAAATAGGAATTTTCCAATGCGCTGGCCGTGGGTTCCCCATGCGTCCCCTCTGTGTGACCGGGCCTTATGGAAATGAGAAACGAAATTGAAAAAAAGCTAGAACAACAGCAACGTATATGTATGTCTGACTCATGCAATAACTGAAGTTTTATATATGACAAGTCTGGTGATCAGACAGCTTCAGCTTTGAACAATTATTTTGCAGCATGTTTTCATAATTTCAATCCTTTTAGAATGACTTAAACAATATACAATTTTCTGTAACTGAAGCATTGGGTACTATCACCAAAAATTCTTTTATAATGAAATGATATAATTATCCCTTAGGAAAACTTCAACAAACTAATGGTTGGAAAGTCCTAACATCACAATCTTGAAGTAGCAAAGTCGAGTTCTTTCTCCCTGATAGAAGAAACAAACATAGAACAATAACAAAATAAGAATATCAGAGCAGCATTCTGACCTGTCCTAGGAATGCCCATGTCATGAGTACAGGGAGAGGATGCGATGCTAGGATAGGCCTACTGGTATCTCCTATAGCATTCCCTATCAGCTGACCATCATCGGTGTATGCCGCCACAGCAAACACATAACGCTCATTGACCTTTAACCCTGTCACACGCAGCTCACAGTCATAGGCAGGAACCTGTCAAAAGAGGGTGATAATTAAAAAATGCTAATTATCTCCATTAAAGAAGGAGATGACAATGTATAAAATGATAAAGCAAATTGACAGTGCAACTTCTTCTTTTTTTACAGATGACATTCAGTTACATATATATTTTTAGGAAAAAGGTAACCAAAATTTAAGATGAAATATGTTTTCATATTTAATACCTACAGTAGAATGTGAAATATAGCAAACAATGGGTAAAAAGAGATAGAGAAAGACAGGGGAAAGCAAGGAGAGGGAGTGAGGGGAAGAGATAAAAGAGGGAAGATGAAAGTATAGTTGTAGGAAGAAGAAGACGATGGTGATGGTGATGGGGATCATTTAGAGAAAATTAATTAATACAAAAAAGGGCAAAAGGGAGTGTTATAGATAGACAAGATGAGACATAGAAAAAATTGCAAATTAGAAATTGATGATAAGATGAGAGACAGGAATTAGGGATCTATAATAAATGCAGTATGGCTTACCTCTTCACCAGTACCAGGAAGAATGTAGTCATTCAATCTGACTTTAACATTGCTACCACTTGACTTGCGGGCAAATAGACGATACCATGCAACCTGGAAGGGAACAAAAACAAATTGAATTTTGAGCAAGAAATATATATTGAATGTTAGTTAAATATACCAGTGAGCTAAATTCAATTAAATGTTCAAGAAAATTTGCTGTACAACACTAGAATAATCATGTAAGATAATAATCTATATTTTTGAGAATAACAGGAATACATAATAACGACTAATAACTAATACTAATAACTTTGCTATTCGTAAATGTTTCCTACCACAAAAATGGCTGTCATTTTTGTTTTGGCAATGTCTTGAAAATCCTTAAAAACTCACCTTCTGAGGGGGGTTGAATGGAGCAGGTTTAAACACCATGCTGTTATCAGTCCGACATACGAGCAATGGTGCTGGTGGAACGCCACAATCCCGTACACTACCTTCTTCTTTCTCCTTCGCATTGTTGTTGAAGAGTTTCAGCTCCTGGTCTTGGGCTTTGGTGATGTAGTTCATGGTATCCTGAGAAATATTTCATAAATCTTTTATTATCAACTTCTTTGTAATACATTCTAAATAATCTGCCTGGTTGTTAATTTATTGTTCATTGTGATGATTACTTCCAGGTATTAAAGAGCTGTTTGGCGATGGTCTCACCAGTTATATTTAAACTAGATGGAACTTCGACTGCGCGCAGTCGAAATGATGCCTCCGTCATAGAGCAATTTTACAAACCAAAACAGAAGAAATTGTTCAAATTCAAGTTCAATTGTAATCCATTAACAGGTTCTCAGAATATCGTGATTACAAGCAATTTCTCATATACATATATGACCCTTTGATCTTTGACCACATGACCCTAACATCTACTCAGTTCATTGGCTCTGCAAGATGTCCCGAGTTAAATAGTAATCCATCTGTCAGTTCTAATGAGAAAGCGTTCACAAGCTATTTTTGCATACATAATGAGCCCTGTGACCTTTGACCTTTGACCTCGTGACCCCAAAATCTAATCAGTTCATCGTCTCTGCAAGATACATACATGACCTAAGTTTGGCAGGAATCCATCAATCGGTTCTTCAGATAACGCGATCACGAGCTGTTTTTGCATACATAATGAGCCCTGTGACCTTTGACCTTTGACCTCGTGACCCCAAAATCTACTCAGTTCATCGGCTCTGCAAGATACATACATGACCAAAGTTTGGCAGGAATCCATCAATCGGTTCTTCAGATAACGCGATCACGAGAACGGGACGTACGTACGGACGTACGGACGGACGGACGGACGGACAACCCGAAAACATAATGCCTCCGGCTACTTTGTAACGGAGGCATAAAAAAATTTGTGTAGTAGGTATCTTTATAAAAATGTTATTCAATCAAAATATACAAGATTTAGAATTTAGCAGAATCAGCGGGTACATCTGCTGTGATCTGATTTTCACATAAATTTGCTACATTCATGTTTTTACTGCAGATTTTATCACAATACACTATAACATTTCCCTTTGGGGTTTAGAATTCAAACTAATATTGCAGACTTCATTAATCTTGGTAGTAGTGCTGTCATAGACATTAAAAATGGGGACTGCTAGTGGTGAGAAGCAATGATTCTTATATGCTGTGTTTACTTCTAATATCATCTAAAGAAATAACTCATGATAAAATATATTTATCAACTGGTCTACATGAATGCCGTGTCAGGGGATTACCATGTATGGTGTACTACCACATAACTATACACGTGCACTACACTGTGGCTCATGAATATAACTGTCAGATCCTAAATAGGGGCTATAATAGGATTAAGGGGATTAGCAGGTAATCACTTAAGGACAATCCTGTAAGTGTGATGTCCCTTTTTTCTAAGGGGATGTTTGCATCATGATCCTCACACCCATAAACTAGAATAACAAGGCTAACAGCTAAAATTGTGTTATAGACCTTACAAGACTTTAAAATGTTCAACTCTTGCTTAAGTTCTAACCTGTAGAAGCTGTTTCTGCTGTTGACTTGGTCCAGCACCCTTATCAGCTTGTAATGCCTGCTGCATTGCAAAGAGTGCCTTAGAAATGAGGTTCTTATCACAGAAATCCAGCAGCTCCTCTACGGTATCTATAGCCATGCTGTCCAGTTCATTCTGTAGATGTAAATAAAGCATAAATCCATTATGACTATAGTATCAGTGAAGGGAACATATATTTATTTATCACTTTCATACATTCTTCAACTGTATTAGCTGGTATTCATCTTTTAATTGTACTATTGCTGTAAATAAGCATTCTCACAGCATACGTTTCATAATGCATGATGCCTTTTAAATAAATTTACCTCATTACTCAATCATTGTGACAAATGTGAAACAGCTACATGTTTCATTAAAGCATATCACATCTAATATATCAAAGTAGATTGTACGTAACAAATGCTAATTTTTTATTCATTATTTTTCCCTGACATTGGGTAAACCAGTATGTTGTGCCTAGAATGAAAATCGGCAAGTTAACATGCATTAACCCATTAAGCCAAGGGGAATCAGAGAATGCAGTAATCAATACAGTGAAACCTGCATATAAAGACCACTCAACGGAGACAAGTGGTCTTCAAAGGCAGGAGTGCTTTAAGGACAGGTTCTTTTAGTACAGGTTTCAATGAGAAACAATTAATCAAGAGAAATGAAAAATGTGGTCATTATAGACAGATGTTCTTTCTATACAGGTGATCACTACAGCAGGTTTGACTGTATATATCAACAAAGCCAAAAAAATTCCCCTATATCTTACCCCTCTGGTAATTCTGGTGCTACCAATCCTGCTGGGCACTGCAGTACTCTTGGCCGAGCCTTTGGTTGAACCTTTGACCGATGCTTTGGCCGACCCCTTAGAGGCTTTCTTCCATGACCCCTGGATCTGGGCCAGCTTCAGACAGACTCTGTGGTACATGTAGAGCAGCTCAAGGTGGAGATCCATGATGGTGTTGAAGACTCCATCAGCGCCCTCCTCGTCTTCTGGAGCTGGAGGTGGAGCTGGAGCTGGAGTGGTCGGAGGTGGCCGGGTCTCATCAGTGTGAGAAGCTGGTTGGTCATCAGGGGGTGGAGCAGTCGTGTTCAAGTCCTGTTTTATTGTCAAGTAAAGAAATGAAATATTGGATTTCTTACAAAGCACTTTACATTTCAAATAATATAGAGCTTTTAAAATCAATACCAGGCAAGTTAAAAGTAAGATTACAACAAAAACTGAATGTCTTTATAGTGCTCTTTACTTTAAAGTGGGGAACCTCCTGCAAAAGTTCTGCAAGTAATACCTCCAAATAATATGGTAACAAATTATGTACTATGTGCAAAAGAAATTGTATTCAAGAACATAAATACAGAATGTAATTTGGTAATACTAATGCTTAGTGTTGATATATTATCTTCAGGTACAAATTATCTTTATCAATATAATAGAAGGGCCACTAAATGAAAACTACATTCAAACCAGGAGTGTCAAATTTGACAGACATGAGCGCTATACAAGAACCCACTATTATTATTATTATTAATTATACCTTGCTAGATTTTGTTCACATCTACAAGAAAATAACATATATAACCTTTGAGTCCTTTATTCCAATAATTCTGATCCTCCCTCCAAACTTCTTGAACGTTTTGTTGACCTACCTTGACCCAGGTTACATCAGCAATGGACTTTCCATCGGTCAGAGCCACAGCTGACCTGGCAAAGGACACACCCTGTAAGGCCCTCTCCAGGATCTCTCTAGCAAGGAGGAGCTGTTCCTGTGGACCCTGCTGAAGGATAGAGGCAGCATACATGGTGATACCACTGGCTCTACCTAACCCCGTGGTACGACCTTCACTCCTGAATGGCGATTCTGAAAATGAAGGCAGATGTTTGATGTCTTGTCAGAATTGTAGAGCTATAACAGTGCGTTGTCTTCATAACTATAATACATACAGAAATTAGATTTTGAAAGTTTTGACATCATCTGTGATATAAATCTAGGTTTTAGTCCTGATGCCATTGGAGATGTACTGTATGCTCTTTAACAAAAATTATAAATTCTAGATATCACTCGTAGCAGCAATGAAACAGCTGGAGGAATACAACCATATTATCGCTTCTTCTGAAATGTGGCAAACCACTATGGTTTTACATTTCAAATAATTGGCAGAGTGATCATCTAAAACATACCTTTGTAAAATGGAGATGGAGACGGCTCTTCTTCGACACTCTGGTGATCATCCATAGAACGGGCTTTGGCTGAACAAGATAAAGGCAAATACAAGATGATGAATGCACCTTCACTTTCATGCATATGCTGTCCCACATACATTACTTTCTTTTCTCATCTTGCATAAATAGCTCTCAATAGAAGTGGTAGTATATGTATATCCAGCATGGTGATGTAGCTACTTATCTACTCCAATCTCATCCAATCCACTCTTCAGAGTACTTAATATAGTGCCTTTTCCTTGCAGTTTATACAAAGCACTTCATTTTGCACCATAACGTATCACAAGGATCGCTTGAACAAGGATTGCAACACTTGAAAACCAACTTGAACTAATACAAATGTACAACAATCAATGTTCTCTCACACAATAAGTAGATCTCCAAAGGCTTTTGAACTGGTCCACATAATTATGTAGTCTTCCATTTGATGGGTAGCTTGTTTTAACCAATAATGTATTTCTCACTCAATCTGTTTCTACTCCCCCGTAAATTTAAATTCACAACTTCAATCTTATTTTATCTTCCAAACAAGATGTAATATGTTATAAAAGAAATGAATTACCTGTCTCTTTCATCTCGGTGGTAGCCTGGCTCTCGAGGACTAGAGCTAGTCTGATGCCAACTTCAGCTGTGAGTCCTGGATCCACATTAGCAATACCACACCAATACACCACCTCATGGAGCACACTCAAAATATGCACCCACTGAAATTATAAAGTTGAATAAAAACTCTCAATATTTTGTTTTCTTTCAGTAGAATATGGTTTGAACGATTGGATATTTAAGTACAAAAAGTACAAAGAAAACTTAGAGGTGTTCAATTCATTTCTAAAACTAAACTTGTGTCATATTCCTGCTGTCCTCTACAAAATGTTTCATACAAAGGAACAGTATTTATGAATTCTGAAATTCTTGACTAATAAATTGAGACCTGAAATTGAGACATTACAAATTGGCAGGATGTAGCCAGGCTAGCATATTTTTCTATCAAGGCAGTTTGAAAATCCCCAAATCAATAACAATTTAAGGTGAAACCTCACGCTCAAGGTCCGGAGGGGGGAAAAAAGCAGTCTAAGGAAAATCTTCATCTTTCATATGGAAGATTCTCTTCAAATTCTGCCTTTCAGACTCATACCCAATGTGGTTGTGAGATCTAATACTTCTCTCTTACCTTATTAGGATTGTCCATTCTCTGCAGGTACTTGCCACTGTCGGACGCTCCTGTCTGCACTCGCTGGAAGACAGTCTTCACTCTACCCCACAGGAAGAGGGTAGCATCGACAACCATATCCAAGTCAACAGAATCCTAAGTAGGACATAATAGAGATACGAGGTGCATTCTAGAAGTTTTTAGACTTTTTAGGGTACAGCTATTTGGTCTTCCGAGAGGTTGATCTTCCTCAAAATCAATATCTTCTGCTAAAAAAACTTTACAATTTCTATGCAAATAGATACAAAGATCAATCAAGGAACGCTTGCAAAATACAAATAAAAGTTCATAGGTATCAGTCAATTTAGTTAGCTAATTGTAACAGCTATCATGGAAAAATCAAGCAACTTGATGACAGAAACTTACAGCTGAGAGGTCCTTGGCACAAGCCTGAAGGACTTCTGCTAGATACACCCAGTGATCCTGAGAGGATATGGAACCTGCAACAACAGAAATGGAATAGGAATTACAAACCATGAAGTTAGCTTATCTATTAATGTAGAAGAAAAAAGTAAGAACAAACCACTTCATATTTAGTACAGTAGTATAGAGGTCACACATCAAGTGATTATTTTCATAATATATTTGAATAAGAATATTTTATATCGCTGAATTAAAGTGCTTTGATATACCTGTAATTAAATAACAAATATTGTAGTAAAAGAGATAAAGGGGGTCTTTACCTATACAAATAAAAATGAGATTCAAGTACCAAAGTATTGGCATAATAACTTTAAAGTTTCATAATACCTCTTAACAATCACATAACCAGTGTAATGTTTGTCCGTTATAATGAAAATCAATTTAGCCAAGCCATCATGAAAATCAAATGAAATAGATTGATGTAAAATCCAAAGTGTGAATATAAACTTATTAATATATTTCATTCTGACATCATACCTGGTGGTGCCAAAGGGAGAGGTAGAGAAGCAGTTTCATTGTTAATCTCCTCAACCTGGGTATGGGACTTCTTAGATTTTCTGTTTGGATTGAGAGGTTCCATGGCTTGCATGATCTCCACAGAGAGAAGTTCATGGGTATACCGATTGTCTGGTTGATTCTGAAATAAAAAGCACACAAAATTTTAGACAAACATGGAATTCATGAATATAAATAGATACAAACATAGAATAGATCTATAAACATGATATTCATAATTAATTCACTTTTCAAAGAGCAGAAAGAGTTCACTATACAAAAATCTTATTTGCTCGTATTCTTCTTTCTTATTCATTTTTTTATATCTCCTTTCCTTCTTACATATTTTTTAAACATCATTTTTACTTCCTTCTTTCATGTAAAGACATCACCATATTTCAATCAAATTGTTCAGGCTTGCACTTACAATCAACTTTCAATATGGATCTTAAGAAACTAAAGAAAATGAACAACACTTACCTTGAGAAACTCAATGGTAGGGTGGACCAGATTCTCATACACCTCCCATTGTTCATAGTTGTAGGCTGACTTAATGAATTTGACAACAGCTGAGATAGGGATACCATCTTCCGCTGCCGAAGACATTTCTATGAGGGATTTGTCCAAAACTACACCACACAGGTTGATATCATTGACTGTCTGAGGATTGCGAGGCTGGTTTCCTCCTCCGCCTAAAATTGTAAAGAAAAAAAAATCCTCATTAAAATGTGTTGTCCATTTTTATCAAATACCTTTGTATTCATGTTACTATGTTGCTTTACATTCTCTACAAAATAAGATTGAAAACCTTGAAAACAGTCAATGACAAATGTACAATGTACAACATACAATCAGTGCAATATGTACGATAAATCTGGTTAACCTAAATATGAATGAATAGGAAATCAATATCCTCAATGAGACTATATTAATATTAGAATATATAGAATATGATACACTTTTAGAAATGACTATAAATCACTACATCTTTACAAAGAAGAAGTTAATAGAAAGATTGCACGGGTAGAGCATCTATCTTAAAAAGTCAAAGAAACTCTGATAGGTGATGTCATGAATACGATACAGTGTCGACTCTATCAACTTTGTATATCTTCTTCTAGGAGACAGGAAGGCATTACACATAACTTATATTCTTTTAGATAGTTAACACCCCTCTGGCTCAAAACAGATGATATTACTCAAATTATAAATAAAACATAACCTCACCTGAGATGATCTCCATACCAGCAAAAAACAGCTCTGAGAAAGTATCCAAGATATAATCCTCAGTGTCCGGAGCAGCTGGACTGGTCAGCAGTGTCCTGCGAGTACTATCGGTCAGTGTCTCTAGGATGGCCAGGAACTGAGCAGCACTACCTTCAAACATGTCTGATAGTAACTTCTCTACAGGAGTACGAGGCCACGTGATCTAAAAAATAGCAAGAAAGACGTCTTAAATGTGGTGTAAATAAACTTCATATATATTTATTCAAGTATATTTATATATATATTTTTTTTTAATGAATCGTCTTCACAAAGGTAGGTAACATAAGCAAAACTGCTGCTAAAGGAAAAACAATGCAGGAAATTCTTTCTTTATCTCAACACATCAGTGTTAAATGTCTGACAATATGATTAAAAACCGGTATCAACAAATCTATGAGTAAGTAAAGAGTATTAATGATGAAATGAAAGGTATGGACAGCTATTATCCTGCACACAAGAGCTGATAAAGAAAAGCATGAGGGAAAATACAGAAACAGGTAGATCCTGTTTCTCTGACAGCCTCCTTCGTATGGAGTATACCACTGATAACTTGACTGTTTCACTTTCGAGTTGACATTCTTCAGGCTTCAAACAAATGATTTACCACATTATCATGAACTGTTATTCAATGTACATGTAATGAACGTTTGTCAGTTGCTGTCACAAAAGATGCTTTGTTTCAGAGATATAAAATCAATATATATATATATATATTACACACACTGCTTGAGATTGAGATTGGAAAAATGATAAAACCATCAAATATATATATATATATATATATATATTATATATATATATATATATATATATATATATATGTAACAGGATGCATATGTCCTTGGCTTTTTAAATTCTATCAATCATATCATAAACATGTAGTTTTGCTTGATTATCTTATAATGAATAAGTGCAACAGATTTTCAAAATGATTGACATCAACTGAGGACATTATATACTATATGATGATACAACTTATACAAGAAAATACAGATGAATCATTCTGGCTTTTTATCTTTTTATATTTTACCACTCATCAAATATCCCTAAAATGACAGACATAGAACAAAAACACTCTGTATGGAATTTATAAATGCATGCTGACAAGTATTCAATTGAAAAAGATGATTGGTTACTGACTAGAGTTGTGCATGTCACTAATAAATGTATATTTATGACAATGCTATCAACCTGGTTTTAGAATCAAGGTAAATTTTCAAGACCTCAGAGAATTAAAGGATCAGCTATACCGGTAACCATGACATAAAGTAAAAACAGGTTTTTCCAAACTACTTGATTCTGAACTTTTCTTCCATTTCAGCATTTGGTCATTCACAACATATTAGATTTTCAGTCTCAAGTTAGTTTCATGTTAAGGCATTACATTTTTAGCAAGATTTTTACACACACTTGAATACATATGAGTTACAGTGCATTACTGGTAGTAACCAAAATCTCTACATAATATGCAAATTGAAAATAAAATATAGAGGGTGAATTATCTACTAATATACATTTTCATTTGTTTTTCTTCTTTTCCTTTTGTTAGTGTTTTTATGGTAAATTGGGTGAGGTGGATCAAAGTAGAAATTAATCCTTTTAAAAATATTTCTCAGATCATCATTCTCATTCATGTATTGTAACCTTACACTCATATTCAACCACTGCACTATGATCCATTGAAACATGCTACATGAGACAAAGATGTACAAGTACACTGAAATGAAATGGAATAACTGAAATTTAAGAAATTAGTCTGTTGATGTTTCACTACCTTAGCTCATATTTTCTTTCATAAATATCTTAATTACCACTGCATCATGGAACAAATGGAATGCACTAAACAAATCAACAACAACAAATGTTTTAATTGAAATACACTATAACAACACATGATATAAAATCAACCTTAATATGTCTATAAAGTTAACTGTCAACATCTTTTCAACATGCACAAACTATTCAAAAACATCACTTGCAATCTGATGATTGTACAACATATGTTCAGATGACAACTGCTCTGCAGTCATTTTGTAATGCTAACCTCATACGTATCTCCAACTCTGGACCCAATACCATACCTAATACTAATGCCAAATACCCTTCGCCTAATCTAAACCCAATCACAACCTTATAACTCTCTATCTATGACAAAATGAAGCCGGCAGCAAACGATGCCAGAACATGGTCCAACCATTATGACATGTATGCCGACAAAGAAAGCTATTAGTGTTAATTGCATACATTAATTTCCTTCTGCTACACATGTCTTAAAAGTAATTGTTTGCATTTAGAATAACCCAGCTTTGCAAAATTCAAAATGCTTTCAATCTGAGAAAAAAATGACATACTTTCTTGTTCATGTCTACAAAATACTGAAGAAAAAGCAAAGAAAAAATTAAAGATTGTAAGTCATATCAGTAAGTTAATGCCAATAATCATCATTTGTTAGTTCTTCGCATCACAAACCATATGGTTATTCTGTTTGATATGGATGAAATTAGTGCACAGCAAACTGGATAATGTCTTCAGGTTTGGTTCTTGTTAGATGTATACAGACACACTGGATGGATGAGAAACCTAGAAGATGAACGACACACTCGTACTCACATTTCCTTGTTTCTTAACAAGGTCATCAAGTCGTTGTTTGGTGGTTTTATGCCAGATGAGGCGTCCGTCACTGGCTACTAGAGTGACGGTGCGTACTTCAGTAGGCTAGGGTGTAGCATCATTTTTAAATCAAATCAAGTAAATTTATTGCTTTCAAGCTCACTTAAGAAAAAAAAATCAAGGAGTTTGTGCCATGACACAAATACTGGTAAGTACATAAAGATTGATTCCATTGGTGGGTTACATTATGTAAGAAACTAGTTTTAAATTCCTTTGTGCTTTCATATCAAATTTGTGTTTAAAATGTAAACCTATACCGAATGGTACTTGTTTTTCATTGGATTTTTGGTTTAATTATTGTATTTTATATCTGCTAATTACCTTTAATTACAAAATATCTTTACTCCGTTCTGGAGACCTTGCCCTACTTGCAAATTATGTAGCCTGTTATTTGGGTCTTAAAATAAATGTTCAAAACATTTGGTCCATATGCCATTACTGACCAGTGTTTGACCAACCATACTCTTTAAAAGATTCTTTTAATCTGTAATGGCATAAAATTAGTCCTTTTAAGGACAAATCCTCCCTTAATTCACTGTCTAATAGACACTTAATTCCTATTCATTTTGGCTACTGACAATACACTTAATCTGTAATGATAATACTCACCGACTGCGAGTCCTTCACATTGCTTCTCGTCTTTGGACGCAGTAGTCCCTTAGGTCGCTTGCGGTCAAACACTGAACGTCTGTACACCATGATGCCAAGCTACAGTTTCAAACGATGCCAAATACACATACCAGTGTTAAAATCCACAATGTTTGGTATAACATGTAACTGTTATAAATAATTTTTCAAAATATCAAGCAATTTCACTAAATCAATTTAGTTTGCTTGATAAGAACGGCTCGGATAGATTAGTTTAAAATATGATTCAAGCGCTTTAATTATGCAAGGACATCTCACTACTGTTACAAAATTCTATGACAGTAATTTATATACCTTGACTGTTGCCTGTCTGAATACTGCCTCAATCTCAACGCTAGGTGGAGCAGAGCTGATACGTTCTAGCTGACTCAATTCATTCACCTTTCCTAGGGCCCGTCTTGCAAAAGTCTGGAGAAGAAAAACAATTATCATATGAGCCCATATTCACAATGACTTACAAATATATCTTAATCTATAGTAGTTTATTATCAAATTTGCAATAAATGATCCACACCATTTTTATTTTATTTAAATGCATAATTATCATAAGAACATTTACCTTGCTGCAACTTCATTGCTAGAAGCTATTTGCTGCTGCGTGAATTGTCCTAACTTGTTTAGGGTAAGAGTTGTGTTAAATTTGTACGAAACAAAATACTAATGAAAACATCAAGTATGTACTTAAAATGGCAAATTTTCACAAGTCTGAAGTTATACACTAATAACAATACATCATTACAAATACATTCGTCCCTCGAGTTTGAATTGATCTTTTTACCTCTGATTGTTGATGAGCCTTGCAGTCAAAGTAGCTTTGACACACAGCAGTGTACAGAGTAGTTCTCCATTGTAGGTAACGCACAGACATGAGGGGTACAGAGTTTTCCATGCACATACAGGCCCACAGTAGAAACTCCAATACCTATAACAAAGAAAATATCAATTTATGTCATGTATGTATGTATAGCTAGGGCATATAGGCTTACTGTCGCATTTATATTTTGGTGTTTAGATTGTCGTTACTTTTGTTAAACAAAGTCATGACACAATATTGGTCATAAAACATAAAATGCAAAAGAACTAGAATCTCTCTTTTAATTTATTTTTTCTACATAAAAAGAAAAAAAGATTTTTTTTTTTCTAAGTTAAGGTATAGGAAAAGGATTCAACAGAATGTGACCTGTATCCAAAGTTTGTCATTTTTCAGCAGTACATATTTGTAGATATCCACTGAATATCATTAGCTCATTTCTGGCATGCTAGACCTCCTTAGCAATATATACCGCCATGTGTTCATAATAAGCCAACTGGTTGATTAGTGTGGGGGGGGGGGGAGGTGGTCCCATTGCCCCTATTCCCCATCCCCACCCCTCTTCTTATAATGCTGGATCCACCTCTGTAAACCCATACATACTGTAAGTTATAAATCTCACCTCTGCAGAGTGACCCAGAGTCATCATATGTCTTGATACACTATAGATATGAATTGTTCCTGAAAGATAAAGAAAAAGAGTTAGTTGGTATTCCAAAATAATTATATAATATCATTAATTTGGTTCTTCACCCTATTTCTTACTAATACATTGTTATATTTTCACTACATTGTGGGGAACAAAACAAAAACAAACAAACAAAACAAAAAATATCAAAAGATTTGTTAAGATGAAGATGAAGATTATACGCTAGAGTGTTCACTTCAATATCGCCTTTAGTTATGAGGTCATGAAAAATGCTTAATTTTGACAAAGGTGGAATTTAAGAGAGAAGTGAATTTGTAGTTTTCAGCTAAATGACAATAAAATCTTAACTAATATCTTACCATTGTAGACCAACCAGCACAGTGATTCTCTTGGCAGGATCACCTGTGTGATGAGCCTGAGGAAGGCTAGGATCTTGAGGCATTGGGCAACAGACTGGGTATTCTGAAGCTTGGGGTCTGTCATCAATACCAGCTGGTAGTTACAGATGCTCTTTCCATACAATGCTCGGAACTAATCAATCAAACAGAAAGATTAGAGACGCACCTCTTTATTTCATGCAACGTGGAGGATATGTCACTTTGGGTGTTCAATCATTATTTTATGATTTGTCAGAAAAAATGTGATATACAGGAAATCAGGCTTTTGGATATATATCGAAAAACGAATATCTACCATTAAAATGAATGATATTCCGGGAGGGCCGTAGCCTATAGACATTAATTATAAATCTGAAAAATCATCAACTGAAAACAACTTGTTCTGGTTGACTGGTTCTATTCATTTTTCAAAATTGGAAAACAAAACATTCCTTACTTATTGAAAGCTCAAATATCCAGCTTCATATTCCCTATTCCATATTAAACCAGTATTTACTGTGAGTTAATAGACAATGCTCAACCCATGCCTTGAGCATTTAATTAAAATGGATAATGGCGCTATTTAAATCTCATGTATTATTATTATTATTATTATTAAATCTCTCACTCCCATAAGTTTAATACAGGGATCATCCAGTTCCATTTGGCAATGACATATTTTAGAAAGCCAATTGTGAGGGTAAAAATTCTTACAATCTTCATCAACTTTACTTAAAATTCAGTATAGAGAAAGGTTTCTTACCGTCAAACTTGCATTGTCTGTCTCGAGACCATCTGGGAAGAAAATCGCCTTCACTGTCTTGATGTCCACAATGTCTTCAATGTGCAGATCACCAAACTGATCAAGGTAGCGTCCATAACACTGCCATACAGCCAAGTTGTATTCCTGTAGTATCAATACATTGCAAGCCTATTTAGTTGCTGGATTCTTACTAAGGTTATACTTTGATTAACAATACAAAATCCTCATAGAGCTATGAAAGTTTTGTTATAAAGTCAAGATTATAAAGATTGCTATAATTTGCCATGCATCTTTGCTTACTGAGCCTACAGATGATATCAAGATAAGCATGCTTAATACTCATAGTACAGAGTGAAAGACATGTACTCATATAGTGTTGATCTTTACCTTCATAGAAACCAGAAAGTCTCCCATCTCGATGACTTTCTTCTGGTAGTAGGTAGAAGGTAGTCTGGCTTCATAGTTGTTCCACAAGTTGAACAACGTGTTGGATCTGTAAAGGAATTATTAACAAAAATTTTGTTTAATGAAAGATAGAAAAAAAGCTCTAGATCCTAATAACTTAAACTGTGTCTTTGACATGGACGATGCGTCAAACTCAAAATTCTGTCTTTACTGTTTACCATATTGACCGAGTAACAAGAATATCATTGAGGTTTGCCCCCCCCCCCCCCCCCAATGAAATTTTCATACATTTCTTGTCATACATGTAGACTCTTATCATTAGTTTTATGTTGAGGGGAAATTAACAGTAATTGACAATCCACCAATCAAGATTTGCATAGCAATTAGCATATGGACCCTTCCATTTAATAGAGTTATTTGTCTAACTCAGCCTCAGGCACCATCTAATTAATCTATCTATAAATTTCTGTTATATTTGACTGAAAATGTTGAGCCTCTAAAATAGTTCTTAATAATATTGATTATTGGCATTTTTGGGGTCATTATTATATTATACAGCTGGTCCGAGAAAAAGATTCATCCTTATAAACGACGATTGTCTTCGTAAACCCAGACAGATGCGTCCGCAAAAAACCTGGATCGTCTGCATTTTCGCAGACGTTTCATATTTCCGATCCATGTGTTGGCGATGCGACAAAACAGATTTTGCGATGATTTTCTTCATGCATTTTACATTAACTTTGTACAGAGACTTTCAAATTAGAGCGATAAATCCTCGAGAAGACGGACAACCCATAAAAGTAGACAGTAAACTGGGGTTATTTTCTTACACGGAACCTGTTTTTCACATCGCCAAACACTCGGTTTGGGAACTCGAAACCCGCAGAGCACCGATGAAAAAAAACGTCTGCGAAAATGCAGACGTTCCCTTTTTCTAAGGATGCAATTTTTCCGCGTTAACGAAGATATCCTCGTTTATGCGGACGATTCATTCCCGAACCAGTGCCCCTACTGGTCAAGTGAGCGTAAAGATAGGCACATTCATGGGGCACTAGAGGGCGCTTCGGTCGCGTACGAAAATCTGAATGGCCTTGCTGCGGTGGGTCGGCAATAATCAGCCCAAAACTTGGATATGGGAGGTTGGAAGGATATATCTTTTTTATAATGTTATCCGGTCTTACCCTTAACCATCCTATGTTTAATCTATGTAGGAATAACATGCGAGTATGATAAGAGAAACATTGGGACCATTACTGAAGTAACTTTTAAAATATTAGCCTAGAAATGACCACCAAACGGAAAAAATTGACATTTTTTCCCGACAAATCTTCATAAAATCTGAGTTATAAACAATTCACATCTAGGTACACTAATACAAATACGATTTTCTGAAAATTCAGGTATGATTTTTTAAGTTTCTTTCAAGTATATTTCTGCGCATTGCAGCGCCAATATTCTTCACTGCTTCAAAATCACCCTTGATTTTTTTTTTGCAACGAATTTGATACGAGGTCCGCGAGTGTTCCCCGTTCCTTGCGTGATGAAAGTTTGGTAATACATAGTTTGCTTTGACTCGCGCACGAAAAAATGGTCAAAAACAAAATGTCAAATGAAGAAATAAACAAGCTTTTGTATAGTTATAAGAGTTCTACCGAGGTTTCTTTGTCGATTTAATTTATTATATAGTCTCAATTAGAATTCAGAATTATCTCACTGAAAATTTAAGAAACCGACGATGTTCTCGATCGTAGTTATTTTCATTTTGCCAGCAGCCGATCTAGCGTTGTTTGGGCAAAAAGCTAGGCCGCTGCCTTCCCACCGCGAACCTTTCCGAGTCCCGCTAAAATGGCGCGCTGCGGAGCTCCGAAGCTGCGTTGGTATCGCTGCAAACTCTCAGCCGGCTAGCTCCCCACGACGGACCATTCGCGGTATGGTGAGAGTGTGTGTGTGAGGTATGATTTTGGATTCGAGAACGCACGTAACGCAACCGTGCGCGTCATTTAGAGCTGTCGAATGTGTACGACCAATTTTACATGTACGATTTTTAGTACAGATACTTGGTCAGTTTTCTTCTTATATCTTTGGTTTTACAACATTTAAAAATATAATTTCTTCAAATCTGCTCCTGACTCGGTTCAGACTAATTGTCTGATGTGTTTTCAAGTCAATTTTTTTAATATATTTTTTTGCATGAATTTGCCTAGTAAAGTCGACTAAAAAAAAAATGGCAAAAGTCCAAGGCCAGGGACATCCGGCAAGATTAGAATCTAACATTTGTTACAAAATTAATTGTTCTAAACCAATGAATTAGGGAATTTTTAGGTTTTTCAAACAAAATCTGTGTGTGGACAGGTTGTTTAAAAAGAAGTCCATGCTAGTAATTAGGTCTAGATCTAGATCTAGATCTAAAAGTTTTCTGGTTTGCATGCGCACGCATGCCACCATCAATGTCATCAACATCATGTTTTTCAATGCATCGGACTGAAAGGGAAAATAGAAAAAGTAAATTACCCTCTGGCAAATGGCTCTTCATCCTTTTTCTTATGGCCAGGTGTACCTCTCTTCTTCATAAACTGTATAAACAGTTTGTACTCTTCTTCAAAAGCATTTAGAACTGGATTTTTGTCCCCTGTGTAGTATTTAGATGACGGTTGTGCGACTGATTTTGCAGCTTTATGCTGCAGCATCATCGCCATTTTGATACAATGTTGTTGCTAGGTTGCGTTCATTATAAGATTGGAATTTTCTTAGAACGTAAAGAAAATAACAAGCTTTTGATATAAAGACTATTCTTAGTAAATCATGATAATAATTGATTACTTACTTTCTAATATTGCTCAATTAAAATATTACTTAGATCTAGAACAATTCCTTTTTTTTATCATTCTTTATTCAAAAATTTATTTCCCTGTAATTAATAATGGACTCACCTAACAAGCATAAGATATGCCGCGCCTACTTTCCGTAGTTGGGTATCTAAAATCTGTAGTCTCCGGAAGAACGTATCTCACATACCTGCGCAGTAGCATACATGAGCTGCCACGGAGACCCAGTGGGCTGAATATCCTGTCAGTTCCTGGATCATAGCTGTAGTGTAGTCGGTGAGCCAGTAAACCTCGAACGTGACAAATCTAACACAGAAGGTACCCCAAAAAAATGATTAATGTTTTGTTGTGGCGTCTATTGATTTGCATGATGTATTTAACAGTAATTTTGATGGTGATCGAGTGACGTGAAAGAGGGTCAGTCAGATCGACAATGACAATAACATGCAGCTGCAGTACAGTAATGTTGCAACATGATCTGACCATGAGTTCATTATTTATTAATGGCAATATTAATGCATGGACATGGTTAATGTTAGACTGAAAATTTGGCGCCTGTTCAGAAACGCGTCCAAAATTTGACCCGTAACTCTGGCGTGGAGAACATACCCAAAATGAAGTAAATATTCATTAAATGTCCAAATAAAGATCATGAGTTAAAGTTGTTATGTTTTTTACCTGTTTCGTGTCAGTTTTCTTGTTATTTTGGGAGCATTTTTTGGATAAATGTTGATATTAGTATACACTTTTTCACAGGTTTCACGGCATAGACGACAAACCGCGCCGCTGCACAATACATACCGAAGGTGGGTTGCAGGCGGGTGCGCACCTGTGTGAAGTTATCTACCGTAATGTCTCAGATCCTCATTACGGTAGATAACTTCACACAGGTACTTCAAATACCGGTACACTGTAATGGACAAAGTCAATTTACTGGGTTTCTCTCTCTATCTCTCTGTCTCTGTCTCCCTCTCCCTCTCCCTCTCTTTCGTTTCAGACCATTGAACCTGGAAATGGTGGTATATTCGTAGGTAACTTGCCGAAGATAATCAGTGAAAGATGTTTGGGATTGAATGCTATGTGTCCCAACATGAGGGCTTCAAGGGGAACGTCAAGACCAGTCCCAAAGATTTCCAAGTGACTGAAATTTCACCAGACGGGAGGCTGGCATCATTAATAGATATCAAAATCGATCTCAGTTCAAAGCTTGGCATCAAATTTAGAGATGGATCAGAACACTCCAATACATCTGCTATAGACTCTACACCTACACCCCTACACTCTAAAGCTGCATCTGATACTAGCAAGAGTACCTCTGTCATAGACTCCCACATCCAAAGTGAATTGTCTTCCATCCAGGTTAACAAGGTGAAAGTAAGTCAGGAGGGCTTCATTCCAGAAGACTCTAGGAAATGTCTGGAAAATGTACTGGATAAGGACATTTTTATTGAACTGGAAAAATTTGCCACAATTGAGCTTAAATCGCTCGGTAGGTCTAATCCTGAGTCATGTACAGAGACAAATACAGCTAGCTCAACCATCCTGGAAACTCACCAAGCCCATCTCAATCTAGGCCTCATCTCAAGCAAGGAGTCTCGTACTATCATTCACAAATGTGTGAGGCACTTGTACCCACATCTTAGAACAAAGGTTCACAAGGTACCTGATCAGGGGGGACTAGAGATTCACATTTCAAGGGAACCTGGGATAGCCGAATTCCAAGACCTACAAATTCCTTTATCAAAAGTACTAGAATTTATCAAATTTGTGGAGCTTAGAGATCGTGAGCAGACCTTTTGCTTTGAGGGGCTGGAGTCCAAAGACCAGAGGACCAAGTTACATCGTTTGGTTGCTAAGCACTATGGATCTTTCCTGGAAACTAAGACCTTTGGAGATGGAGCATCCACTAGAGAACATCAGAAGATTGTGGTACGCTTCAGACAAATCAAGGACCATAAGAAGAGGAAAGGGGGAGACAGTCACTCTGCTCGAGATTCAGTATTAACAGGTAATAGTATGCCACTTACATGTATGTGTAGTCTCAAATTGGAAATGCTTAGTTGGTCAACATTTGTAATTTGGTGCTTGTTGGGCTTCTATTTTATGTATCTATTTTGTAACTGGAGATTTGTAAAATATTACCTAATTTAGAACATATACTTTATAAACCCATTGGCTACTGGGTGTTCTCATTCCCATAAACTTAACACAGGGACCACCCAGTTCCCATAGACAATGGATTAAGAGGTACTAATATGAAGATCCTACCTGGATATCAATTACTAGGTTGATGGCATCAAGGTATCATCTAATATCTGATATTGCAGGCCAAGAATGGCTTAAACAATAGAAATCTTATTCGTAAGAAAATGTGTAAAGTACTGTTCTTCCTCTTATAAATATGCAGATATGTAATCTAATCATGATACTTGCATTGCTTGTAAGTCTGACAAAAGTCGTGTTTTTTAGAGTGAGCATTCAAAGCTGTAGAACTCTTGAGTTTAACTGTCAACTTCATGTTATGTACAGGGTTCACTCTGCAGAAAACCAACACAGAAACACTGTCTGCCATACAGCAACTAGCCAGACTGATGGGAGTCCAGATCTCTGACTTCACCTATGCTGGCATCAAGGACAAGAAGGCTGTCACTACTCAGGAAATGGCTGTGAAAGGGATCACCATCACAAGGTTATAAACCAGACTAAAACTCATCTCAATAATATTAAAATATTCAGGTGAATAGAGTACCGAAGCTGTGACGTCATAAAAATCAATTTTTAGAATTTCTCAATTTTTTCTTCATTTCCCGAAAGAGCATAAAAAATAATGTCCAAATATTGAGAAAAAAATGAATATGTTAAGTATTGGCTGAGATATGACCATTTGAATAAATAGATGTCCTATGGGAACTCAGTGTTATATGCTGACGTTATTTGATGACGTCACATTAAAATTATGTTTAAAAACAAATTTATTACTTTAATGCAGTTTTAGAGATTTGTGACTGACATTGTGAGTCTTGTGGGTCTGCTTGAAAGCTATCGGAGAGTTCATGAGACTGATGCCTCATGAGACTGACATGTTGGTCTTGGAGGCCTTCTGACACCTTTCTGAGAGTTCACAATACTGGCATCATTGGTTTTGTGGATAATCAGTCTTTTGGAATGTCCGGAATGCTTAGTTGTATTTGACTTAGTTCATCGTATTTTCTTTTTCTTTTTATGCGTCCTCTAGCCTAACTTTTATTTTGCTCTTTCTTTTGTAATTTTCTTTTATACCCATTTTCTCAATGCAGACTACAAGATGTTTCCAAGGAGCTCCCTGGGTGGCTGAAAGTAGGTTCCATTCACTCAAGGAACAAATCTATGGTAACTGGTGAGCTTTGGGGAAACCACTTTGATATCACTCTTCAGAACGTAGAAATGAAGAATGGATCAAATGAGGTGAGAGCTGGAACCGTAGAAGATAAAGGGAGAGAGCTTCAAAACTGCATTGAGCAATGCATCAGATGTGTTGAGGTGAGTCAAAACATTCACACAAACTGTGACAGGCATTAGCTAGTGAGCTTTCAGGTGCATGAAGCATTTGGACACTCTTGGACCAACTTATAAACATTTTATATGTACATATTAGGTGCAACAAATGTGGTCCTAACTTTAAAAAATGACAACATTTAGACCAGTATTCAATCTTGTGAAAGGCAACACACTGTCAAAGTAATATAGTGACATTTAATTTCATATTTGTTATAGACAGTAGTTCAACGTGTTTTATATATGTTGAATAATGCTGTATCAGATATTACAGCTTCAAAAACTTAGTATCAGTTACATATACATGCCTCAAAATCAAGCATATTGTTTCACTGTTCACATATCTTGTTGTTTTGCTTGTTACACCAGGACAGAGGATTTATCAACTACTATGGAGAACAGCGCTTTGGAGCCTCATCGGTTGACCCAAGCAAGGCACTAACAACTATATCACCAGCAGATGTAGGATGTGCCATGCTTCAGGGAAAATATGTAAGCTTCAGATTAGTTTACAAGAAATTACATGTTGGATCAAATAATCTATAACATTTCATTTTTTTAACTTTATTTAACTTTAGATCATAGCATGGAAAGTTTCGATATCTGAAATTCAGGTTTATGGAAGCGTAGGTACAGGGCTCTACTTTTTAAGTATGATTGTGCATTTTTTACTTTTTAAACATATTGTAGAATGAGAGACATTCTAAGTTTTAAGATTATATTTTACTTCTAAAAGGCCGAGAGAGAGTAGTTGTTGTTTCTTAAGACATATGTGCTGCTTTGTACACATGTTTCCAACTGTTTCAATGCTTAAGCTCAATTTATCCTTATCTATACATCTTTTTTGTTTGTGTTCTTTTTGCCTTCTTGCGCTGTCTTCCTCATTCCTAATATTTTCTTTGTACATCAATTTCATACTTGTAGAAAGAAGCAATTGATCTGATTCTGTCTCCAGATGATGGACCTTGTGCAGACCCATCCAATGCTACCAATGTAGCTAAACACTGCTTTCAACAAACAGGCTCCCCAAGAGAAGCCCTCAAACAGATGCCAGCTATGAAAACCAGAGAGTGCCTTCTACTCAAGGGTCTTAATAGGTAATAGTGATGGTGGTGGGATTATTAAACCCTATAAAGTAAATGAAGTGCTAGTCAAAAAAGGCAAATGCGAAGTGAAATATTCCTACAATGGAATTGAATTTAAAGATAATTTATGTTATAACTTGTTTCATAACAATTTTGAATTTGATTTCTTTTTATATTCTAAATTTCTTAGTATGTGTCAATAATGTTAATTTCTACAGCAAATAATTGTGGTCCTTATGTATTTACTTTCTAAGTACTCTGTAATTTAGAGTCCTACTATTTGGAGGAAGTTTCAATTTCGCTATAAAGATCTCTTTCTTTAAATTTAGATGAGAATAAGAGTATTATGAATGAAAAATACAAATGTCTCCATAAATTTTGTTGATAAAATCATTTCTTCTTTTCTTGACCACTTTCAGACATGGAACTGATGATGATGGTTGTATCAAAGCTCTGATGAACATCCCTCACAATATGAGGCAGATGTATGTCCATGCTTTCTGCAGCCTGGTTTGGAACCAAATGGCATCATGGAGGATGGGTCGCTATGGTTACCAAGTTGTGGAGGGTGATCTTGTGTCTATTGAAGACTTGGGAACAAAGGTGAATTTTTGTTCCATTAGAAATGTGTTTTATTTCAGTCTTGTTTAATTATAAATTGCTCTCATCTTAGAAAAATGCTTGACCCTTTTGTCTGCCCTTTCTGTATTTCTTCTTTCCCTTTGTCTCTCTTATTTTGTCATTATGTCTGTCCATTTGTATGTAAGACCCATGTGCACAAAGTATTTGCCCCTAAAGTTAATTTACTTCAGTGCTGTTCAAAAAGGGACTTGAATGTATTTGTAATGTCCAAATAAAAGTTTGAAAATATGCACAAGGTATCACTTTCTATCTACATTGTGTAAATTATAAACAAAATTATTCTTATTGAATTCATCATGCATTTTGTGGAAGACGTTTCCATATTATATTATTAATTACAATTATTTTTTCATGGTTTTACATGATTTCAAATATTTGTTTAAGTGTTTGAATATCTTTTGAAAATGTACATGTGTGTATGACATGACTAGTTTCCAGAATCTACAAAATTATCCACATGTATTGGTATCCACATTTTTAAATACTCAGATATCTTTTATATCATTAATGCAGGTACATGCTGTAACTGAAGATGATATTACCCAAGGCAAATACTCGCTCACGGAGGTCATGCTGCCGTTGCCAGGCAACAACATCCAGTATCCATCTCACACAGCAGGAGCCGAGTATCAGAGAAGACTTGATGAGGCTGGACTTGGAGAATGCAACTTCAGAATACCTGCCCTCAAGCTCAACGTCCCAGGGGGCTACCGAAAGGTCATTGCTCAACCAAGGAACCTAGAATGGGGATGGGGTGTCTCTAGGGATAAGCATGTAGACAATGAAGATGATAGAGAAGATTATACCAGAGATACAAAGGATGCTCCATTGCCTAGCAACCATGCTGCAAGCCCTTTTGGGAATACCAGTGATGCCCTGAGCAGCAGTAGCATTGTAACGGTAGGGTGCCCCAATCTAATGGAAGCATCTGGGCGCCACATGGAATTGAGCTGTAATGAATCTGATAGCAACCCTGCTGTGTGTTACCCTAAGAAAACTAATGAAATCAGTGCAGGCCGGCCCCTGGGGAGTCCTGCCTGTGTATCTGAATGCCACATGGTTTCTAACTCTGCTGATATCAAAGATGACTTCACTGCCAGTATCTATGACAATACCCTTTCGACAGATACCACCAAAGCCATAGGGGGTCCCAATTCTGCAGATTCGCCAACCCTTTATCATAATGATATTAGTCAGTCTTTGTGTCATAGTAGAGATAAATCATCTTATACAAATACGCAATGTGATGTAAGCCAATCGTCAAGCCTGTCATGTCAAAGAAAGACTCTTAATTTATCATTTGACTTGCCAGCTTCCTGTTATGCCACTGTATTCCTCAGGGAACTAAAGAAATCATAGCATTATTTTCAAATCCATTGACGTACATTCTAATGCAACAATCTTATAGCTGGTCACTGTGAGTAGAACTTTTACTCAAAATTTTGAACTTGATTCCTTCAATTGTAATTTATGCAAATGTATGCCCAAATTTGCATTAAATGCTTCTTTTCCTGCAGTTTTTATTCAAAATACATTCCGGATTGTTTTGTAAAACTGTCCAAAATGCATTCAGATTTCAAACTGCACTTTTTAAATTTAGTCCCTGGCCATATTACCCATTGATATTTTATTTCATTCACTTTTTGTTTGTTGTGCATGGAGAGTTTCAAATCTAAATTGAAATTTTCCAATCATGTGTTCTATTCTATAAGTATATTGAATGCAGAGAATCGCAAGTCATGTTCATGGTTATAACGAAAATATCAATGTATTCAGTTTTGAAATAGCAATAAGATAAATTTGCAAAGAATTTTGTGACATTGGAGAAGGGATTTCAACTTATTTTAAGTGCATTTTAGTAATTCAAACTGTTTACTCATTGTCGCAAAATCTATTATAATAATAATAATAATAATAGTGGCTACTTGTATAGCGCGCAAACTTTGTACCGGTCAGAGGAAAAATTCACCAGCTTTATACATTTGTCAGATACCAAACATAGTAATGAAAACATATTTTCAAGAAGTTGACTTTACAATGAATAGCTGCATTTCAGTTGATCTTTTTTCAGCATAATGGAGGTACATGTATGAATAAAAATATGATACATTTTACATTTTGTTGATGTTGCTATATGGGACTGTGCATTTCATAAGGATTTTAACAGGCAAAACTATTTAACTTGATAACCTGAAATCATAGACTAGGTTGGTTGATTACTTGACTGCTTGCTTGTTGACTGGGTGGTTAGTAGAATAATCACTTGGTTTGTGCGTGTGTTGATTGGTTTGTTATTTGATTGATTTATTGGCTTGTTCGATGATTGACTGGCTGTTGGTTGATTTATTGATGGTAATGTTAGCTTTTAAATAGACCACTTTACTAACATTCAAATGCTATGCATACTTTTTAAACAAATAGTGTTCTTAACCAGAAAGCATGTCCAAGGCTTGCCTGACATAGCAACAAGTAATGTATGCAGACTGGATTCAAATTATTGTGGTTCATCCATTAACAGCAGCTTTTATGGAATAACTTGTCACTAGGTCCCCAGGAAAGAAACATACATAAATTTAAATATGTTAGTAAACTGGTCTATTGATAGCTTTGATGGTGGATAGGCACTTTGATTGATTGATAAGTTGACTGATTAGCTGGTAGGTTGATTGATTTGTTTGTTACTTGATTGATTGATTGAAGTAATGATTGCTGAAATGAAAATTCTCATTAAGACGAGCATAATCCTGAATAAACAATCAGATACACAGCATCTATTATACAAAGTTATATAACATTTTTATTAACAAAAACTACCATATTCTACATACATATACAACACTAAAAGTGATGTGAAATTGTACATGTAGCTTAGATCTTTACTATATCGTATGTAAAGTGGGTGTAGATATAACATTATGCTCTTTATACGTTACGCAAATATTTTTTTTTTGAAATTACAACTATTACATGAAATGTGTCCCATGCAACAATCTGATCGTTTGATTTTACATCTGGCGGCTCTTAAGAAAGCATATGTTTGCTTATAAGTAAGTAAGCAACCAGGGGACTGGTGGCTTTTATTCTAAAAAGGAACATGCGAGTGCATACATCACTGAAACCTTTTCCGGAAGTATACCTGGTACATTTGTAATTCTTCTTCATGATATGTTACGTTTTAAAAATTCTTATCCATTTTGTACCTATATGTTATTTATCTTAATAATGTTTCACAAAGACACAAATGCATATTCATAGAAATGTATCGTTATATACACATGTTCAAATGATGCACAATTTCGCAACCAAATCTTTGAATTTCACATTTGCTCCTACATGTATTTGCAGTCTAAAGCCAAACAAAGTGTTATATCATCTCTGCCTATGTTCACCATTTGAAAATCCTAGCTTTATTAAAAATAAAAGGTCAATGACAAATTTACAAATGGAATGACAAATAAATGTTAACCAAAGTCTCATCCGGAAGTCTGGAAAGACAATTAAAATTTGAGAATAAGAAACTTGTCTTTTCTAAAGAATAAATAATTTGTTTTCCCCTTACATCATTACCATACTAGAACAGATATTTTGTTTTGTTACTGACTAACATTATATCATAAATTTCATTTATATCACTCTGTACATAAATACAACTTGAGTTCAGCTAAATATCTGTAGTGATATTTAGTAAGCAAACAAGTATGTAAAACTGAAAGTGAATAACTACATGTATAAATATGTATAATCAAAGTAAAATTTTGGCCAAGAAATAATAGTATCAATATCAATTGTATAAATAATTCCAAACAGCTCCTGGGCAGCCTAGATTACATGGCAGCAAGAGTCTTCTTAACTTTTTTTTAATTCATGCAGCCGGCTAATTGCATGTGCATTCAATTTAAAATTACTATCTGGAAATGGCATGATGTGATCTATGTTGATTGACAATTTGTCAAAGTAATTTTAGTGTTCACAACTCTATTCCCCAAAATCCTTAAACAATGACCTATTTAATCGCCATAGTAATTTTGTGAAGAAAGGTAAAGATGATTACAAATACATGTACATGTATAGACCATTTCAGAGATAGCTCATGTACAAAGGACTAACAAGTATACACAGATCTTCTAAACTTGCAAAAGTCCCACTGAGCATTTTAGAATAAATCACTGCCAAAGTGAATACCTTTTATTTGCTCCCTTGAAAAGAACAATTTCACCTGTATATTATAGCATGTTCAATTGATGCATAAATTAATGATTCCACAACTTTCATGAACAAGTATAATCCAGCATTTGTCTTGAAAGTTTTAGTTTTGTACAAATGAAATTTATCTCCCCATCTGCAGATAGTATCTCCTAACTGACATTTAAAAGACGTAATAAGTGGCTACATAAACACAACCAAATGTTTACTTTAACCAAATTTGCATCCTATTTCTAAAATCTTAAATAATATATAACTTCTGGTGGTTGAAAAGTGAACTTAAGGTTGTTTTTTTTTAAGAATGGTAATTGTGCTACATGCTGTTTGTAAGAAAATTAAAATGAATACCAACAATCACTGGTATGATTTGTCTGTACCAACCATTCTGTTGGACATATCAAAGTCGATTTATACTCCCAAGACATCCAGTGAACATGTAGTATGGACTCAGGAATTACCTTCCTTCATACTGCGCTGCCCGTAGACTTGCTCTCTGTTATTTCTTCTGCTATCTACATGATTTATACAACCCCAATCTTCCCATCAGTCTCAGACCAGTGTGTCCCCTCTTGTTACCTGTTGGAATTGAAAAATAAATGACAAAAAACAATTCCAAAATATAAATAATGCTATGATATACTAATAATGTAAGGTAGTAGTTTTAATTTTCATATAAAAATAAAACATTGGTCATGTAAAATGCATATCACATTTGTTATATTATTACCCTAGCTTTAGAATTATACATCATTTGGAGAATGGAAGATAGTCAAGAGTTCAGAAATTGCTATTAATGTTTATCCTTCCAATGTAATTATGTTGAATGTACATGTAGTTGTTCAGCTTTTTCCCTAGGTATTGACAGATTTGATACATGTAGATCACCAACCATTACAGAAGATACATGATCTGCAAGTATTACAGACAACTTTTATAATGGGTAGAGTATGAAATGTGGGGCCCAGAATATTTATCAGTAAAACTAGCAAAACTAATATATGAAGACTTAAGCTTCGCATTGCTCTCATTAAAAGGTACATACATTAAAAATAGCTCATGAGAAAAGAAATTTCAATTTTAATTGAAAATCAGTAAAAAAAAAAATAATTAAAAATCACACTGAATTCCTTGCACATTTGATTTTAATATTGTATCACAACTTACTCTAGCTTCAAGGTACTCTATCCTTCTCTCAAGTCCTGTTAATTTTTCATTCAATATGGCAAGTCTTGATCTGCATGATGTATCTGAAATAGAAGAATCATTCTGAATATGAGCACCTTACACAACATTTTTTCAGACATAATGAAGAATGTTTGATAAACTGTTTGACTTTATGGTTGGTTTCAGGCTCAGAAATTATTTCACTGCATCAAAGTCGGTTAAAGAAATGTCAGGCGTGTCCAAGACCAACTTGTTTATAGTACATAGATCTAGATTATTATCATTTTATATAACAAACGATAGTCAATTTTAATTTTTTTTTCTAATCTTTTTAATGTCTGGCAGAGTGGCATGTATGGCAGTGCCTTAATTTATAAAATCACGCATTTTGTAATACTTTTGTTTAGACCAGGGTCTAGATTTATTTTATTTTTTGAATTATTTTTTCAGAAATTCAAGTTTAATTTTCAAGACACAGAGATTTTCACCTTACACCAGATCTCATGTTAGAAACACTTGGCAAGATATTGAAAGGTCTACCAAGTAAAAATACTTTCAAATACAATCATTGATAATTTACAAGTCAAGTCAACATGTTGTTAGTTTGTTCAGAAACCTATCCAAAATTTGACCCATATCTCCGGCGTAGACATACCCGAAACGTAAATAAATGTCCAAATACAGGTGAATACAAAAGTTGTTATGTTTATTACCTGTTTTGTGTCAATTTTCTTGTTATTTTTGGAGTATTTTTCGGAAAAACATTGATATTAGTATACACTTTTTCACAGGTTTCACAGCAACGCTGCACAAAACAATACCGATGGTGGGTTGCGGGCGGGCGCGCGCCTGTGTGAAGTTATCTACCGTAATGAGGATCTGAGACATTACAGTAGATAATTTAACACAGCCGCGCGCCGCGACCCATCATCAGTGTGTACTTGTATTGTGCAGCGGTTTGCCGTGGAACCTGTGAAAAAGTGTATACTAATAGTAATAATATTGATATTTATCCGAAAAATACTCCAAAAATAACAAGAAAATTGGCACGAAACAGGTAGGGTCTAATAAACATAACGACTTTTAACTCATGATCTTTATTTGGACATTATATAAATACTTACTTCATTTCGGGTAAGTTTTAGTAGGGTATCTCCAGGCCGGAGTTTCTGGTCAAATTTTGGATAGGTTTTTGAACAAGCGCCGTTAGTTCTTCCGCAATGTACATGTAGTACACACAGAATCCTATGAATGGGGCAATACAAAGTCACACCCATTTTTAACTCATCTCACATTTACTGATCAAAGCTCAACTAAAAGCACTCTGACTCACCAAAAGAGTTGAGAAAATCCGCTATCTTTTTAATATTCGTTGTGATAATTTCTATGTACTCTCTGTTCGCCCAGTCTTCTTGAATTTGATTCCGAACGGAGGATTGTGGCATTGGTCGAGACATTTTGTTCGTGGAGTGCCAATTTTACTTTTGCTGTGCAGTGATTTTATCAATTAGATCATTGATTTAAACACATTAAAATAGTTTTGAAGACAGAATAAAATAATTTATATTATTTTAATATTTCTAATTGGAAAATTAAATTGAAAAATATTTTTTTGTTTTAATCTTTTTTCTTCCAATCGTACAAATGTTATTGCATCAGTAAAATAGTTGCCTTGTTTTGATGAGCTAGAGAGCTCGATACTTCCGGGTTTTCCAACAACGATACTTGCGAGCTGCTCGGGCGGTGAGATAAAGAGATACACATACTGAGAAGAGCGCCAGCCAGTGCTCGCTAGCTTGAGAAATAGCAATCTTGTTCGAGTTGTAGAATTGACCAACTCATATTCCCTCTCTCTCTCTCTCCCTCTCCTCGCTTACGTAGGATTTGAGGGATGAACATGAATGTAAAGAGAGATACCTGATTGGCTAATATTGGGAGTGGACTGCATTAATAATATGTAGCTATTCTATTGAGCGGTGATGATTCAGCCAGTGATTTGTAAATTTCTTACTTGATCTCGAGGGAACTATCATTATTAACTACGGAGTGTACATCGGGGGACACCCTGCTTGGTCGGCAGCCGTAACTAGGAAACACCCGCTGGATCGTTATACAAGTCGCTGCGAAACTTTGGTGGTCAACATTTGCCTCTGCCTCTGGTCTTGCCAGCAGGCCGAGTTAGTTAATCTCAGATTTAAATCTTAGATTATCTTCATTGTTCTGGTTTTCACCTCCACAGTATCGATAACACCATTGAATTTTGTCAACTTGAATTCAGAGACAAAGATTCAGATAGAGACCTATGTCTGTGCTGTGTGTTCAGTCAAGCATTAACCTTGCCATCCAAAGCTGAGTTGTGACTGTGATGTGAGTGACCTAATTGAAGCAACGAAGAGGATGGATCAATGAGTTACAGAAGAAGATTATAAATCTACTGAAATTCGTTTTACCAGACATTGTGTAAGTATAGTTTTAGATTGTATGGTACTTTTAAAATAGACAATGTTGATCTTTCTTTGTTTCTTTTTGCCTGCTTTTGTGTTCTTTGAAACATTTTGTTATGATAAATATTTTCTTTTTTAAAATTGTTTTGGATGTAATACATCTGCATCATTTTGTGAAGAATGAAGATCTACATAATTATAAATTTCAAAATACTAGATAGCTACAGTGTACATGTAGATCTGTCTAGTACTTGATCTGCAACTCTTTTTGTTTCTCAAGTTTTGAGATCACCCACATCATACATGTATGAAACATAATCGAATACATACATAACATGTGTTTTATTTTGTAATTTAGAAGTGAGAAGCTATTATCTCAAAGTTATGCTAGAATTATTACCATTCATGTTTTGCCTCTTTTAAGCTTTTACCAATTTTCCTCTCATACTGGCAGAAAATTCAAGTTTTATTGAGCAGGTCAACTGAATGAAAATACCAGAATTAATACACATACTTTTTTTTCTACAATATTTTCTGCAATGTAAGATTAACATTAACACTAATTCAACAATGCCTGGGGCGTTACTGATTTAACATTAATTTTTCTGAAAATCTATTTCACATTTTCTGTTCAGTTTCAAAACAGTTATAGAAATGGGTTGAATACAATTTTACAATTAAAAAGATTATAGTGATTACTATTATTGCTGTTTTTTTTCCCTACCCATTTGGATTTTTTAATAAAAAGTATTATCATTATTATTATTATTATATTATTGTTATTTTTATTATTATTACAGGGCATCATCATTACTACTACTAGTCTAGAAGTACAATGTAGTAGTAGTAGTAGTAGTAGTAGTAGCTTGTTCTTATTATTATAATTGTCATTGTTACCAATATTGTTGATGTTGTTGTGTTGTTACCCATTCAAAATGAGGACAGATTTTATATAAATTACCCAGAGCTATCCTCATGTTCATAGATACTTTCCATAAAAACAGATGCAATTTTTTTTTAAACCAGTGTTAGTAAATTTTCAGTATTTTGCACCTACTTTTAATAGCATTACAGGGGTATTCAGTATTCACACAACATCAAATACAAATTATTTGCAGATGTGCATCCAATTTAATGCATGTACTGTAAGTGTAAGCAAATGGAATTCTCTGGAGAATATATTTTAGGTGATTGTGTTTTTTAAATATTTTCCAAGAATTTTTTCTATTCAAAATAAAAAATGTCTTCTCTTTTGATACTCTTAGTGATAAACTGTTTGAATTTCTTTTCCAGAGACTTGGTTATTGTGGATTTTTTTAATCCCAAAGATTTAACCCAAAACAAATTATCAACAGCATTATAACTGCCTATTTTGCTTTCCTTGGCATAAAAAGGCTTCCATTGTCAGGGAGACTCTGATTTTCTGTTTTCTATGAGACTCTGTTTCCGGTGTTAGATCAACTTGTCATCTCCAAGAAAGTAATTTTAAACAACTTAAAATGACAAATTTCCCCTATAGTTCATTAAAATGTGATATACTTTACTTACAAATTGTACTTCTGATAGTTTTACTACTTTATAAAATCATCAGTTCAGACTCTTCAAATTTCTTGAGCCAAGATTGTGTATTCAATCATATAGTTGATGATAATATAAAATTAGGCCAATTTAGTAATCTTGCGGTGTCCATTTAACATTTGACCTGTTAATTCTCATCTCTGTAAGATTCATTTTTACGACATCAGTAGTTATTTAGAAATCATTTCTCTGTTTTGGCTCTGGGATTCCATTTGATGCGTTATGTAGCACACTTGTCAGTTTGTAATTTTTATTTGAGATTTTGTTTTAAGCTTGTCATTTTGGAGACAGAAGTTGAATGATTTAATGACAAATAGTCAAAGACTTGCATTAAACGGTGATTACCATGTACATACATGTAAACCTCCTGTAATATGTTTGATTTCAATAGCTTCAATATCTTTTGAAGATGAGCTCATCATATAATTGAGCTAATGAAGCAGCACAAAAACTGTATTATGGAGTCCTTACAGTCCTTGATGTCACTTAAATCCATGTGTATTACCAGTTATTGGCAGACCTGTGTACATACATGTGTAACCCTTCTACCAATTGTCACTAGCCAAAATTTCAAAATATAACAGTGCAGTTGATCATGTCTATTTAATTGGCAGATTTGATAATGAAATTAATATTTCTTTCTATTATTTTGCAATGAAAGTTACACCAAAGAACATGTAGGCATACAATGTATTTGTTCACAGTACTTGTAACATACAGCGTAATATACTGTAACTGAACCTTTGAAGGCAAACACTTCAAATAGCAACCACTGGTAACTGCTAGCAACTAAAATAGTGAACCATTATCTTATACCCTTCAGGCCAGTGAGGCCACTACTAATATAAACACCACAGATTAATGATAGACCTCGTTCCAACCTGTTACTCAATTTTGCCCCATTTGCTCCTTTAAAAGGCGAACTGTCGTCTCTGGTTTCATTCAAGTGCCACTTAGGGAAGGCTCCGTTCAGTGCCAAAGTCCTCAGAATGTAATTTAGGAGCATGGGGCGATGGCATCAATAATTTACCAGCAAGAAAATGTTCTATTCCCAATGCTTCCATCACATTTTAGAGTCAAATATTCTAGATCTTTACCTTCTAAGGCTTCTATGCTCTGTAGGAAATCAAGTGTATTATATAACAGTTAAATTCTTATTCATAGTAAATCAAAATTTTGGCTAGAAAACTGAGAAAGTGTTTGTGAATGAAGTGAGTTCAACTCGCACTGTCATTGACTCAAGACTGAAATAGCTGAATTTAACCTGCTTGATTTATCTTTGAGGCCCTTTCTTGAGGCATTTTTATGTGTAGCCTACTCTTTGAATCAAACTCATTTTACATCATCTACATGTAATCAACATTTATTCATAACTAGGATAAAATATGGTGATTTTGTGTAGGTATGGAACTATTCAGCCAATTATCATCTTTTAGCAATAATGAATTTTGCCTTTTTGTATGTGTAAGTATGTTTCATCTAGGCACTTTGTTAAAAAATACCAGTATGTCTTTTAAATCACCCTAAATTTCATTTTGAGAATTAAGATCCCTACCGGTACATAGTTATTTTCAGCTCGATATTTACATGTACCCAACAATGTTGATGGGGTGTTTTGTCATACCATGATAGTCAGACTTGAACGTGTAGTTACATGTACATGTAGTACACGTACAGTCGTACATATATCTTTAATAAAAAATTATGGATTATTAAGCCCTATAAATGTAGTTATCATTATTGGTTAAGTGAGACTTTATCACAACATTAACTGTGAGTCAGACATCCTGCTATGTTTGCTTTTACTGTGCCCAACCTCTGAACTAGAGGGTTTCAATCTCCATTATATTGTTTTTATGTGCTTTCTTTTGCAAGATTTAAACCGTACAAAGTCTACTTCTGTCAAGTCTGCAAACCAAGCCTAGCAAAGTATCCATGGTTTCAGCTTCTCCCTGTCTATTTGGACAAAGCCAATTTGTCAGGCATTTAGCTTAGTAGTCAAACTCCAGCTCTCAATTGATTGTGACATTTATTTATTTTCTCATTTGGCTAAAAGTAGCTGCACAGCCGACTGACGAAAAACTAGAGCTGGTAATGTACCGATAAGCAGCATTCACTGGTCAAGGATAGGGGAAGTCAGTAAGCTATGTACACATGGCTGTAGTGCCGCATAGCGCAGCAATTTGATTGTACCGGTATTCACTGTATTGTTCAATTGATACATTATTCTTTCACAGTTGTTTTGTTTAAAATCTAGAGATATTTCCATGCCCTTGGACATTGGAATTGATATACTTGTGTATCCTAATTCTCAACCATTGCACAACAATATTAAAGCACCCATTTTTAGACAAGGCTACTGAAAGAAAACCACCTGATCCACTCCCCTTTTTTCATTAATTGATTTGGAAAGAAGCTTTTGCTGAAGATATATTAATGTTACAGGTATGTGCAGATCCGTCACTGCAGTTTCTTAAGACCTGTCCCAGGTTTCATTAGAAGTTTGTAATTCCATCAACCAAATTAAAAATCTAAAATGTTAGCCTTGATTTACATGCATGATGTTAGGGTACCATATTGATTGATAGCATTTGGAGTATAGCCTTTTTATGATGATGGATTGGGTTTATTTTTTATTTATTTTTTTGAAGAATTGTTAATCAGCTTTATTCATGATACATTGCTGAAGTTGATTAAAATCTGCTTCCTATTCCATCATCTGTTTTGAGCAAAGAGGTCATACCGGTAATGATATACAGTTTCTTTAACACAGGGTTTTATATCACACTCGTTGCTCCAAACAGATGATGTGCACTTCCAACATTAATATATCATTTGCATGTACATGTACCTAATGATTCAGATAAGTTTAGATATTAGTAATAAGTACTTATCTTTTTTAAGTAAGATGATGTACTATTTTAATTTTCTGATCTTTGGCTGATTGCCACCCAGCCTATTATGCATGCTGAAAGCATGAAGAAAAAAAACTAACAAACAAAAAGCAGGTAAATAAGCTTGTGGTCTTTTCCTTAATAAGATTGGACATGATTATGGTCAAATAAATTTTTTTTTAAAAATATATATATAGATTTTGTTTCTGGGACTGCAATGTACAGTACTTCTCACAATTGTCTCTGCAACTTAAATGGGATATCGTTTCAATTCAATTCAAAGTTTATTCAACACTCTTCATATAAACATTCAAAACATACAAATACAGAATGGAGTTATAATTTTTTTTTTTAAAACAAGAAAGTGATAACAAATACAATGGCAATTTATAAGAGCATTGGGATAGGCAGAAAGGAGGGAAGTTCCTTATATAAAAGCCTACATGTACCCCTAAAAATTATAGGTGCTGTGTCACTTTATGTAATTAGTCTGACATTCATTAGCCCAATTTGAAAAGCTGTCAGGTTTTTAAACAGTACTCCA